AAAAAAAAAAAAAAAAAGATGAATTGTCTAATTGTCTAGGGTTTTGTGTCCTTAGAAAATAACAGCTCTAAGTACCTTCCTACATTTTCTTTTCTTTTTTTTATTATTAAACAGATGTCTTCAATTTAATGCAAGAGAACATTTTACTGTTGTACAATCATGTTCTGGTGGTTTGTTTACAGGATATTCCAAAATAAAAGGACTCTGGAAGGCTTTCATTGAGGACAAATTGCCATATGATACAAACTGTGCTTCTCTATAATTATAATACAGAGGTTCCATTCAATGCAGCCTATACAATAACGTGATTTAGTCTAACACAGTTGACCCTATCTTTTGGTAACTTCCATTGTTTAAAAATACACATGGGAAAAAAACCTATATGCTTACAGTGCACCTAGAGCTTTTTTATAACAGCGTTTTGTTTGTTTGGAATTCTTTAAGTATATATTATTCTCATTTAGTGCCCTCTTTAGCCAGAATCTCATTACTGCCTCATTTTTGTGATAACATTTAATTGAGATATTTTCCACATACTGGGCCTGCTAAAATAGAATATGGCATCTTTCATACGGTAGAAACCAACAAGGAAACTTTCCTTTAACTCCCCTTTTACACTCGATGCTAAGTAGCAGGGGCGAAAAGCATTTATAGATCATTTCTAGGCAAATCATGAAGCTAATGACCAACCTATTTCTACCTATTCAGTCTTTTACTTTGCTAGAAATTTCTCCTCCTGAGGAGAAAAAGTTACCATTCTGAATTTAGCTGTATCTATGTATTGCATTTCTGTATTTTTTTGCATTGTAAAAAATTCACATGACAATGTTGTGATGTTAAAAAACAAAAACAAAACAAAGCAAAACTAAGAAGCCAGGTGTGGTAATGCACCCGTTAATCCCAGCACATGGGAAGCTGAGGCAAGTGGTTCACTGTCGAGAGCCATTCTACATAATCTGGGGGGAAAATCATTTCGCAGTTATGCTTAGGGCTGTCTGAGGCCTGCGGGCTGGCTATGGCGGGTGGAAACAACTCTGTTTTGCCTCTGGTCACAGCTGAGGCCTCAGGGTGTCTGGACACTGTGACACGCAAGGGCAAGAGTCCATCGGTGAAGACGTCCTGGTTGAGAACCTGGGAGGGCGAATTCCTTATCAGCTTAACTCCTCTCGCCCACTGCTGTTTCCTTTGCTCATCTCACCATCCTCGTCAACTTGAGCTCCTCACTGACCTAAGATCCTCATCCTCACAGGTTCAGTGCCGCCCTCGGTCGGCTGAGACTCCCACGAACCCAACAAAAAGCAGCAAGGTCAGAGTCCTTGTCTCTGCCCACCTCATGAGGCACTGACCTCCCGGCGCCTCGCACACTTAGAAATTATGCAAGTCTCTATTGCCCGTTTTTCTTTAGCCCTCGCTGTCCCCCTTTCCAGTCAGAGGATCGATTGCCCTCCCATAGATCACCTTGGTTCGAGGAGAACAACACAGTACAATCCTGTCTCGAAACAAACAAGCAAACAAACAAAAACTGAAGAAAAAAATTAAAGGGCAAAAACAGAAGACAAGAGCCTGACAGTAAATAGTGTGAACAGAATGCGGCCATTGTTCATCTCGGCTAGGAGTGGAGAGGGGTAGGGGGTGAGTCGGCCCTCTGAGAAATGAGAGAGAAATGGCAGAAACGAAAGCCAACTTACCTGGAATTTGGTCATTTTCTCCTCCTTTTTCTAGGGAAAAGCAGAGACCTGAGAAGGCAGAACAGGGTAACAAGAAAGAAGCCATGAGAGAAAGGGAAACGTGCCCTCGTGCACATAGGGAAGAGGCGCCCGTTCCCTCCCCACAGAGGCCGCCACACACATCTGCCAAGCAGCGGGCAGCACGGGCTGGATTCCAGCCACCACTCGGCCACGAACGGCCTTGCACAGCTGTACCCAGTGTCCCCCGGGGCATGCACTCTGGTGCCACGAAACCTGGGAAAGAGGTGGCGGTGAAGCGCACAGGTTAAAAGTGGAGTCCAGGTACAAAACACCCGTGTTCAGAACCCGGGGCTGCTCTCTACTGGCTGAGTAACCACAGTGACCACAGTAACCACAGTCTATCCTTCCCAGCGACTCAGTTCTTCATCTGCAAAACCGGGGTCATGACGGAGCCAGCACCACAGGACTGCTTGTGCGAAAGGTGGAAAGCTATCATCAAACACCAACATCCTCTATTTCCTTGCAGCTGCAGAGAAGGACACTATTTTGCATACAAAACTGCCCTTGCAAGTGTATTTTGTCAGACATCTGGATGCAGTGATTCTTGTGCCATCCTTTACCCACATGGTTGGTTAATATTCTTCCTGAAGCCAGAGGCTCACAGCTACACAAATACATGGGTACAACAAAAAAAGATGAAATCTGTGATGCATTTTTTTTCTTTTTTTTGCAGCACTGAGGATGGCACCTGGGGCCTGCGTACACTAGGGCAGGTGTTTTACCACTGAGCCGCACCACCCCCCAGCCTGCTACTACTGTATATTTCTTTTCTTTTTTTTTCTCCCAGTACTGGGGATCAAACTTGGGACCTTGTGCTTGTGAGGCAGGCAAGGAGCCGCTGAGCTAAATCCCTGGCCTGACTCCCACATATTTCTGTTATAAGATGAGACCTTCTGCCTCACCTTACCAGATCGCACTGGTGATAACACCAACTCACAGGGCTGTTTATGGGGTGAGGCTTGCTCTCCTGTATAAAGCCACTCAGTGCTGACCTTTGGAAGGATCTGGACACCAGAATTTTAATTCTGTGACTTCTCCCTCAAGGTCTGCTACTTTATGAATATTCTGGGGGTAATTTCAAGGCCATTTGTGGAAGAGAAAGAATGAAGAGGGGAAAAAAAAAAAGCTAATCACAAACTGAAGATCAGGCAGAGCCTCTGAGCACCACCTTGGAGAGAAGTCTGCTGCTCCAGTACCTCAGCCCTCCCCACTCCCTGCCCACAGGGCCGCTGCTTTAGAATCCACAGAACTTGCACACAGAACTTGGCTGAGTAATAGCAGAGGAAGAACGGTGTTTTCTTTTGCACCATCCCATTTTCCAGTCACCTAACAGGGATAATAGCTCCCGGAGTAGAGGGTGCACAGCCTCCTTTGGGGGAACAGTGAAGAGGCCACAGCCCAGCTCTGACGAGGGAGAGGGATGCAGGGACTCAGTGGGAACCTGAGACCTCACCTGACTGAGTTAGATCTTAATTCTAAGACAGGGACTCCGCAAAGCGCTTTATGAGAATGAGAGTTACAGAGTACCTGGAGCAGAGGAAGCAGAGGGGGTGAGAAGCCAAAAGCCAACTCAGTGCTTTAGAGGAAGTGCCCCATTTAATCCTCACCGTGCCCAGGAGGTGGGACAGTGGCAACTCCCTTCACAGATGAGCAGAGACTTCAGGATTTTAAGCTCTTTGCCTATAATTATCCATTTAGCCAGCCAAACAGCCAGGATAATTAGCCTAGACCCTGCTCTCAATTTCTAGGACTGTAGCTCTCAATCTGCTAGGTCACTGGCACCCGCTGAGAGTTTTTAAAAACAGTATCAATGCCCAGAGTCCTGTGGTGGATCTATAAATCAGGACCCATCAAAGCATTTTTATGAAATCCCCACAGGCGACCAGAGTTTGCACAGACAGTTGCAAAGTACAGACTACGGGATGAATAGCGGCAGTCTAAGGTAAGCCCACACAATGAACAGCCTTCAAGGGAACCGTCAGGGAGCCACGGCCAGGAACAAAGCAGCAGGGCCTGGCACCCAGGCCTCCTGATTCCCAACTCCCTGTCTCTACTGTAAGATGCTCCTGGAGCTGTTGCTAGGAGGAAAGAGCAGCAATGTGTGCTGTGGAGGCCTTTGCAAGCGCACACTCAGCATGAAGAAGACTTCCGGTCAAAACCTGCCCCATCAGCTTTTCCAGGCAGGGGCTCACTAACCACCAAGGGGCTCAGAACTGAGACGGGCTGGGAGTGCAGCTGGCCTAGCGCGTGCGAGGCCTGGGGTTCTAGCACCGCAAACCGCAAAATCAGTAAAAATAAAAGGCAATTCTGGTTTCCTACGCATTTAAACAACAGTCAACTTACAAAACTTTCCTGGTTCTTTACCTGTCAGATACAGTTAATATCTGATTATGTTCCTTCTTGGTTAAAACACGCGCATGGCTGCCTCGTGCTGTGTCTGATTAAGGCAGCTGAGCTCTAGCTGTGCCGCTCCCATGTTTCTGTACTGTTGCTAAGCACAATACAAATCACAGGACCCAGGAATGGGCGGACTCAAGTGTGTTAAATGCTGCTAACTGAACAGCGTTTCAAGTACCACATGTACTGCTGTACCACATTTTTCAATTTTTTATTGTCAGCACATATTCATCAGACAAGAACAGGAAACCAGGGTACAGTCGTACTTCTGAGGCATCGTGGTGATGATACAGTTATTAAATTAGATGCCAAAGCCTTTGCTTATTATGCAGCGACAACATAGCCACATTAAAAGAATATATGTTGGGCCGGGGTTTTAGCTCAGTGGTTCCTGCCACCTGCAAAGCGCAAGGACCCAAGTTCGATCCCCAGTATGGGGGGGGGTAAAAAAAATAAAATAAAAGAATACATGTCAACATTGTTTTTGCTTATCACAAATAACTCAGAGTAAAGCAATACTCAGGAAAATTCAAAAATTTTCCAATGAAATGTTTCATCAGAGCAGAATTTTTTCACAAAACCCTATAATGAAAATGAGGTTGCAACCAAAACAAGATTTGGATATTCAGAAATTCAGCCTCTATTTCTCACCCAAGCAAAGAAAATAATTTACCAGTGATGCAGATCATGTTTGATTGTGGCAAGCAAGGAAACGGGTCCAGAAAACATAATTTTGTTTAAAATTATGGGACTTTGAGCAAGAACAGTTACTCTAAGAGTTGATGGCAATAGAAACACAATGGTCCATTAAAATACAAGAGAAAAGATTCTGCTAAATTATATTTGGCTCTTGAGGACTCCGTAGAAGCTACTGTTGTTGCTCAGTTGTTGTTTATTCCAGGAATCAATGCCAAGTTTGAAGTGACTGAACAATGAGGCTCTAGGAATCATCTGTGAGAAGAGACAAAGATGAAACATTTCCAAAGGAGTTGAAAGGAATACTAACTTAGTATAAAACCAAGCAGCACAATCAAAAGAAACCTGCTAATGTGTGTAAAATGATAATGGTAAAAATATGTTGGAGCAGAAAATAGCCAAATGGACCGAAATCGGTCCAAGGCTTGTTGGCCGTGTCTAAAGCCTATTGTTGTTCACTGTGTTATTCATCAGCAGTGATCTTGCTGCGATATTTTAATCCTGTGTGACTGGCCCAGCAGTGTCAGTCACCAGCGAACTTCATTCACTCTCGTGGACTTAACCATCATCAGTGTTATGAATTCTGTTGGAAAGAGAAGGACTCTGGCTTGCCTGTCATGCGAGATTTCAATAGCTAGAGACACGATAAAATTTTTTGTGATTTCCTCCACTTGAGGCTGAGACTGAAATGCTTCTGAAGTGTCCTCGATCACTGCTACTGGATATTGGGTGGCTTTGGGAATTAGCTTGGGCTACAGACTTTATAATGTCTCTTAATGAATTCAACCTAAACACAAAAGGCAAAACGGCACTGGTTTGTGAAAATCACACTGTAATAAAGTCATTTCGAAGACAACTAATGTTTAAATCACAGGCAATGCCAAGCTACTTTATAAATTTCCAGTGCTGTCAGAAGCTAAAACAAGTGGGATCTCTATTCCCACACAAACTGACATCTATACATTTTCTGAGCTTAAACCACACAAGTGTAGCTTGCTTTCAGATCCTGGTGCAAGTGCACAGATTCTCCATATTTCAAAATCCAATCCACTGCCCAAATGCAGGGCTTCCTCCTGACCTCTCACTGGAAGTGATTATTGTGAAATTAATGACGCATTAAAAGGGAAATCGCAAAGAACCTACAAGAAGTCTATAAATGCCTTCTGCATTAGTTCCTATCACAGCTATAAAGAAATTAGCACAAATTTGCAGGCTTAAGAACATATAATTGTCCTTGTTTCGCTATGGGGGTCGGAAGTTCAAAATCAGGGACAAAATCAAGGTGTCAGAAGGCCTGTTCCTTCTGGGCAAGCGGGCAGACGGACAGGCAGGGAGAGGATAGGATAAAGCCTGGCAAATCCTGACTCAGTTAAACCCTTGCTACAGGGAGCAATTAAAAGGAGAAGCTGATACTCAGCATGGCTCTGCTAGGCACCCCAACTAAAGTTAGTTGTTCCTCCCCACTACCCAACAAAGGTGGGAGCTACAATAACAGAAAACTCACTCAGTGTATAAAAGATACTCACAATAAGAACCAAGATACATTGCGCAAAAGTACAATATCCTAATGATGAATGTAACTGTATTGTATACCTAAAATATATATATACACTCCCATCTGGATATATGTTTCCCTTTACTGGATTGCTAACTTGGTCTCTTAAGTCCTTAGGTCCTTTAGGAAAAAGAAAAAAACAACAACATAAATTTTAGAGATAAGACTGACAGGACAAAGACATGAGATGGAACCAAATTAAGAGGCTTATGGCCTGAAAACAACCAATCAGTCTGTGAGAAGCTCCAGGGGGAAGAGTCTTTTTGTCACTTGACAAAAGCATCTAGGAACAAAAGGGCCTCAGGTCCTCCATCTTTCCAGAACCCCCTACTCTGATTTACCAAAGTTGTATCTTCCGTCTCTACCCCCTCACCCCCCCATCCCCACTTCCAATAAAGTGTCCAATAAAATGTCTTCCTTTCCTTAAACTCTGTATCTTTGATCCTCTTCTGGTATGGAGTTTACAAATCCCGATGAGCTGCATGTTCCCCAGAGTCCACAGATGCAACACTTCTAAGGAAGAATCCATTTGCCTGCCATGACCTACGTCTGGAGGCTACTGGACTTCCTTAGCTTATGGCTGTATCACTCCAATTTCTGTTTCCATCGCTACAGCACACCTAACTTCTGGCCTCCTGCTTTTCTCTTACAAGGACCCTTGTGATCACATTAGGCTTCATCCCAACAATCTAGGATGATCTACCCATCACAAGGTGTGTTAAGTTAAACACTTCTGCAAATCTCCTTTTCCACTCAAAGTAACAATGACAGGCTCTAGGAATCAGGATGTGGACATCTTTCCAGATCCACTATTCAGCCTACCACATCTTTCTATTTATTAGTATGCACAACTAAAATCACTGGCCTGTGAACTGATACTAGTATCTGAAAGTACCCATTTGTTTTAAAGTCATTTTCCAAGATAAAACACATATAGTTTCATTACATATCAACTAGCAACAGATGAACATTTGCAGTCAATTTTTTTTTCTTTTCTTTTTTGGGGGAGCAGGGTTCTAGGCAAACTCAGGACCTTGAGCTTGCAAGGCAGGAGGTGGCACCACTGAACTAAATCCCCAGCTCCATGCAGTCAATCTTGATGATAGAGAATAGTAACCTCAAACTTCAATTAAGTGAAATTTTATCCCCCAACAAGAATTCCACTGTTCTTGTTAATATATATAATACAAAAAATTGTATTCAATCATTAGTGCTTCAGTTTTGTCAATAAAAAGCTTCTCTCGAGTTGTATAAGTACCTAAATAATATTATTTTTGCCAACTGAATGTTAAAGCTGAAATATAATCTGGCCATGTTTTCTTTTGTTGTAGCAGGGATCAAATCAGGGCCTTGTGCCTGGTAGGCATGTTCTCTGCCACTGATCTACATTCCCACTCAATTTTATTTTGAGATAGGGCCTTGCTGAGTTACCCAGGCTGGCCTCAAACTTGTGGTCCTCCTGCCTCACCCTCTCAGTAGTTGGGATTATCGGTGTGCACCATCATACCCAGCACAATTTGGACTTTTCAGAGAAAAATTTTACTGACTCCTGATGAAATCAAACTCACAGGTAGTTCTTTGAAAACAAACAAACAAACAAACAAATAAACAAAAAAATTAAACTTCTAGCCAGACTAACAAAGAACCAAAGGGCTGAGGATTTAGCTCAATGGTTCTGCCACCTGCCTTGAAAGTGCAAGGTCCCGAGTTCAATCCCCAATACCAAAAAACAAAATAAAACAAAGAACCAAAGCGAAAAATCCCATAAATTACCATAATTAAAAATGAAAAAGAATGGGGCTGGGGTGTAGCTCATGGTAGAGTGCACACCTAGCAAGCACAAGGACCTAGGTCCCACCCCCCCAAAAAAAAGAAGAGTTAAGGGGATAATCATTACAGACTAAGCAGACATTAAAAGAATAACTTTACATTCATGAATTCAATGTGTTAAACACAATTACTTATTTCCTGGAAGGACATAAAATATGAAACAGCAGTGAGAGACATCAAAGAGGCCCTAAACGGAAAAGTAATACGTTCTTAGATTTAAACATTCAATATGGTAAAAATACCAACTGCCCCAAACTAATCTACACAATCAATGTAATACCGATTGTATCTCGGCAGGGTTTCGTGGTATATAAAGATAAACTAATTTTAATGGAAAGGCAAAGGAACTACAATTGTCCTGTTTTGAAGCACAATCCTGATGGATTAACAGTGACTTCAAGTGTGATATAAAGCATCAGCAATCACGACCATGTGGCATCTGCAAGTGGACACACTCAGAAAAAGACCACAGAACGGAGAACCCATCCATAGATCAAGTCAAGTAACTTTTGATGAAATTGCAAAGGCAATTCAGAAAAGAGACTTTTCAATACATGGTGCTCAAACAATTAAACATCCATATATATGGGGGTGGGGGTGTCATGGCTGTTCTTATAAATTTCCAGAGCAATAAAACACAAGGGAAAAAGAAAACCTACCCTTAAGTAAAAATCCAAAACGTAATCTACTGAATAGGAAAACATGGAAATACTAATATTATCATCACCGGTACACCCTGTGTTCATGGGTAATTAAATTTCTCCCTTATATTGTCCTCATCTCTATATTATGTAATCATTTCTATAATCAAAATGTGAACCATAAATATTTCAAATATAATAGAATTGCAGATGACTAAAAAAAAAATCTGATCAAAAAGTCAAAGTTCATTAGCATAACTTTTGTGATTCTACAAAAACCCAAACATCTCATCTCAATCTGATACAAAACATGTTGATGATGAGACATGGCCTGAAGCACTGGTGGTCCAGGCACGTATGGCCCATCTATGACTATTTACCTCCTGTAGAACTAGCAGTACAGGCCACCAGATGGGCCAGTCATGCACGTACCAGGGGAGTTTCAAGCTGGCAGTTATGTTAAGAACTAAAGCAACATAGAACCAGGCGTGGCGGCCCATGCCTATAATCCCAGCACTCGAGTGACTGAAGCAGGAGGATCACCAGTTCCAGGCTAGCCTGGACTATATAAGGAGGTCCTGTCTCATAACAAAACCAAAAACAAACAAAAAAATCACACACACATACACACCAAACAAGCAACGAAGGCAATGGAGTAAACTACCTAAATTCAGCTTCTTCCTAGATGCCTAGCTGTGAAAACCAGGACAAACAACCAGTGTGTTTCCTCATCTTTAGAATGAGCTGACAGTCCCCTCAACTGCAGGATTCTTGTAATGGTTAATTACGTTAATTCCTAGAATTCTCTTACAATAATAGTTAACACTAAATGTTTACATATTGTATTATTCATGCCTAAGCACTTCCCCATCCCTTCCTGCACTTAATTAACAAATACCAGTGCAGTTTCCTAGCAGATTTAGCCAATAAATAAAGAAAACATCTCTCCGAAAAGAAAGGACATGGGGGAAGAAAGGATGTTAAGTTCTACTCAGGTAAGACTCTGCTGACTGGGTCATTCGCTCCTCCTGTAGTCTTTCCCAAGTCGAGGCTGGGAAAGGAAAAAGAGGTGAGAAACTAGAACTTCTGAGAACTTCCCCATAAATTACAATGGACATCGGGCTGGGGATTTAGCTCACTTGCCACTGCCTGGCAAGTGCAAGGTCCTGAGTTTGATCCCTGGTACGGGGTGGGGGGGGATATTACAATGGACATCCCAGACAACAGCCGGGAACGACCCTCTCAACAATAAGAATAAAATCAATTCGCATATGGAATTCTGGTACAGCTCCACTTCCTTCAAGAATCAGGGAGAGGCCAGGGACGCTGCAACAGGAGTTCTGACCCCATCCTAAGTACACTAAGCTTCCAGGGAACTGAGTAGTGCTTCTCAAAACTTTACAGTGTACTAGTAACAAGTGACCTACCGTATCTTCTACCACGCACCTGTTCTCAAAATCACTTGGGAGTCAGGCATGGTGGTGCACGTCTGTATTCCCTGCACTCTGGAAGGCTGAGGCAGGAGAATCATGCTAGAGCCAGGCCTGTGCAATGTAGCGAGGAGAGTATGGTTGGGCTGTAGCTCAGTGCAAAGGCCCTGGGTTCAATGCTTTTTGCAGTAAATACTTAGGTACTTACACCATTTTAAAGAAGAACAAAAGTCGAATAGTATCCTTTTGGGAAATGGCAGAGCTGGCTATGGTCAGGTAGAGTTGGGGGAATACAGAGCCCAGGAGATCCTCCATCCCTGCCCCGGCGGAAGCAAGGGGTTGCACCAGCCGCCCCACACTGTGAAAGTCCATTCAAAGGGACCACAAACCCCACCTTTCCCAGCAGGCGTATTCTCTTCCCCTAGGTCCCTCGTCCGGTGGGCACCGGCCCCGGAGAAAGGAAGAACGATCTGTACGGTCGCAGGAAGCAAATGCGCCGAGGGGGAGGCTCACCTTTCTGCGAGAAGCGCAGGCCTCTGCCTCGCATACCTGGGGCGGAAGTGGCTCCGCCGCCGAACCCACCTAGACTACGCTTCCCAGAATTCCCGACAGGAGCAGGGTCGCAGCCTCGGCCTCCGGTAGCGGAAATTATTCAGTTACCCACGGTTTCCACACTACACTTCCCAGAATTCTCTGTTCCCCGTTAGCTTCCCAGAGCGGAAGTAACAGCTGCTAGAGATCCTGGATTGTGTTTCACAGACTGCCCCTCGGAACTGGCTCTCCACCTCCGCTTTCCTGCAAACAAAATCTTCCAAACACGGAGAATGCTGACATACTGTATACTTCTTTATTTTCTCCCGCACATTGCGCTTTAAAGGCGCTTTTCCTACAGCTTGCCTGTGACCATGTGAGTCTTCTGGACTACAGTCCCAGGAATCTCCTGACGGACAGCCATTCCAGCGAGTCTGGATAGTATTTGGATAATAACTAGTCTCAGATGGCCAAATTGAATTCTAGACTACCAGTCGAACTTGGCTGCCCTCACCCCAACCCCTTTCTTTCTCAAAAATTATCTTTCAAAAGTGCCAAACACCCCAAAAAACTCAAACCAAAGCACACTACCTACCTATTCCAAGAAAATGCCCTATAAAAGAGGAAGTGGAGAGAATTGAAAAAGAAAAGCAGGTTATTAAAAAGGAAATGCGGGCCAAGGTTTTGGCTCAGTGGTTCTGCCTCCTGCCTCGCAAACGCGAAGGCCAGAGCCCAATTCCAGGTACCTCCCCCCAAAGAAATGATGCGTGAGCTAATAATGCAGATACTGAAAGGAAATTGGCTTGCACTGGGTGCTGAATTTAAGGAATTCAAGATCTCAACCTTTGATTGCATTGTCCTTTTTATTCTCTTTGAGCATGAGTGCATGGAGAGCTCTTGACCAAGGAACTGCTACCTACAATAAAGCGTTATTTCCAAAATCTTCAAGATTTGAATGTAGGTGCCAAGGATTAAAACAACAGCAGGTCCACAGATGGAACCGTTAACAGGGCTATAAGTCAGCAACAGCACATTTTCCCCACTTTTTCTTGGCTTTAACTGGTAATTATGAGATGTGAGTCAGGAGGCAAAGGAAAAGGTTTACAGCACTGATACAAATGTTATAACACCAGAAGTCTATTTCTCTTATGAAATCTTTTTTTTTTTTTTTCCCGGTACCGGGGATTGAACTCGGGTCCTTGCACTTGCAAGGCAGGCCACCGAACCGCTGAGCTAAATCCCCCGCCCCTCTCTTATGAAATCTTTTTTTTTTTTTTTCCCGGTACCGGGGATTGACCTCGGGTCCTTGCACTTGCAAGGCAGGCCACCGAACCGCTGAGCTAAATCCCCCGCCCCTCTCTTATGAAATCTTTTTTTTTTTTTTTCCCGGTACCGGGGATTGACCTCGGGTCCTTGCACTTGCAAGGCAGGCCACCGAACCGCTGAGCTAAATCCCCCGCCCCTCTCTTATGAAATCTTTTTTTTTTTTTTTCCCGGTACCGGGGATTGAACTCGGGTCCTTGCACTTGCAAGGCAGGCCACCGAACCGCTGAGCTAAATCCCCAGCCCCTCTCTTATGAAATCTTGAAATGCTTTCTTCTTGGAACTTCACATCACCTATTTTCCTTGATAGCATAAATACTGTCAGTGGCTAATGGAAGGCAGAATGATTCGCAACACAGTGAATGAGGTCATGGCTCGATCTGTTTAAACCATGTGTGTTCATAATTAGGAAGAGGAGAGGGATATAGGTGGAAGTGGTAAATAACTATATGCAGTCTGGATAATTACATCAAGAGAATCTACAGGAAGTGTATATTTAACACTTTCTTCTGGGTAGGCGATGCATTTTGTTATGAAACTCCTAAAAATAATGAGAAAATATCGGGAATAGTGACACGAAACATCAAATCCACACACCCTAGAGTCAACACATCACCATCTTGCCTTTTCTTACCAAACATTTTCGATCAAATTTGTAACATAATTTCTGCCCAAGTACAAAATATAAAGAGCAATATTGCAGGCCATGGTGGCACATATCTGTAATCTCAACACAGAAACTTAGCAACTTAGCTAAGACCACCTCAAAAAAACAAAAACTATAAAAGGGTTGAGGAGGTAACTCATGTAGGGAAAATGAAGCCTAACATGGCTACAATTGGGTTCAGGCTGTGGGGCGGGGTGGTTTTCGGTGGTCATTAAATCCAAGTCAGCAAGCTTTCAGCACAGGCATACCTCAGTGGTCCCAGTGAAAATAACTTATACAACCTGGCGCATGGCCACTACTATGTGTCTTTGTATAAATGTAGACTGGAAGAAGGGCTGGTGGGAAACTGGGTAGCCAACGGCCACTGAGGCTAGGGGCCTAGGGACTGCCGTGCCAGGGCATGCAGCTGAACAGCAGTGGAGCATGAAGCACCTCGGATATTTCCAGACTGTCTCTTCTTTGGGTTGCCCAAATCTCCAGTGAACCTCTCCAGTCTGTACTGGTGACCAGACAGCTCCGTGGGAAGGCCCCCTTACCTTATGAAACCAAATTAACAATTTTTGGTGTTACCTAATTTGAGTTCCTGTCTATTGAAAAAAGTGCATAATTTATCTCAACCAATATTTAAATAGTCCAAAGTATGCCACAATTCTTGAAGGAAACGGATATAACAGAGTGCCCTCTAAAAAATCCTTTATTATCCTAGACTACCGAGGTCTACCTCTGAGAAGAAACACTATTGGTCTTCCAAAAGTTGTTGCTCACTTTAGTGTTAGTTATAGAATTAATTTTATTAAGATTCATTGCAGGATACCTATTCTAGGTACTGTACTTTGTGTGTTAGCTGACAAATTTGTATGCTATCACCCATAATGGAATTTCTCTTCTGTGTAGGATTTATGTCTGTGGACTGAACCTTTGTATATCACCTGGAACATCTTTCTTTTGTATACATACCATTGAATGATGATTCTCACTGAAGAAGTCTCATCCACACATCTAAAGGTTAGATAGCTTCGCTTCTACATCAAGCCCTAATGACTGAAAAGTTCTGAACTCTGCATTGCAGAGTATTACTCTCCAGTGATGGTAACATGTTGCTTTTAAATTCCTCTATAATAGTTAGGACAGCTCAGGCAATGTCACAGTTACAAACAAACCACCAGAAAATTTCAGTGGTGTAATGTAATACATGTTTATTTCTTTTTGGAAGAAAAAGATCCAACATGAATGAGAGTGGCAGTCAGCGTGGAACAAGCAGCTTCCAAGGGCACCTTGGCAGGATAAGAGAAACCTCAGGACATCACAAGATGCTTGGTAAGAGCCTGTTACAGCTTGTATCTAGATGTCCCCCCAGTGTCCCCTATGACCCTCATATGGTCATAGGTGGGGCGTTTCAGAGGTGACTGGATCCAGGGTGTGTGATGCTGGGATTGATTCATGGTGATGCTAGGCTTCTGGGTGTGAATATAAGGGACACAAAGAGGGGTGCTGTTGTCACTTGCTGCTTCACTGCTTTTCTATCTTCTACCTGCCCTGCCAGCCCATGAACTGTTTCTCCTCTGCATTGCTCCTCCGCCATGCCACACTGCCTTGGAGCGAGCCAACTATGGACTGAACCTCTACAAACCATGAGCTGAAATAAATCTTTCTTCCTCTAACTTTGGGTGTCAGGTATTTGTCTCAGCAACAACAACAACAAAAAAAGTAACTAAGACAGGGCTAAACTTTCAAAAGTGGCTTAAACTACTTTTGCTCACACTCCACTGGCTAGAACTCACTCTTAACCGAAAGCCTTGTTGGGGAAGAGTATCTTCTTAGGACTAAAGGGAACAACCAGTATGATAAACACATAGCACTGTCTTTGCCATAACCAAATATCCAAATACCATTCTGCAGTGCTTGTCTCCTGGATAGAAAATCTAACGGGTTTGAAAACATGAGGACAGATGCTCTTACAAATTAGCCCAAGTTTCATTCCTGAGCACAGTTTAGGATGTTTATACAGAGAGTATCTATTGAGTGGTGATGCTCGGAAAAGAAAAACAAAACACCTAAAGCCTTTGGGTGGACTGAAGACTTACTGCACTCATCCCAACTAGAACTTCCTTCCTGGACACATCCTTTAATGAAAATTTGACCCGTTTCTACTGTTACCCATTTGTCAAGAATCACTTACTTGGCCGCTGCAGCATATAGTCGGCGGGAGTTCACGGAGGTTCTGGAGACCCAGAATAGCCTCCTGTTGTTCTCTTAAGAGCCTGCCCGGGTGCTACAGGCAAACATCACGGGTGGCATCATCCCTGTGTCCCAGGATCCTCCCAATGGCTGATCTAACGGAAAGCCCCCATCGTGTGGATGCAGAGTGGCTTCTGTCCTCACGATTGAATGCCAGGTTTCTCCATCTATAATGTTTCTTTCCTCTTATACAGTCTTTGGTCACCCAGAAACTCCCTTGAATCAGAAGTAGGATGCAGATGGACTTGGCTGTGGTTCTTGATCATTCTGGAGCCCATTTTAGAGGGGTAAGCATGTGATCCCCCTCTTCTACCACAGCCCCTGTTTGTCTTTCTTCCCTTGGTGCTAGGCCATCAGCATTACCACATCTCCCATTCCTCTTTGTCATAGTCATGGCTGTTTGTCATCTGCACTAATTTAAAAGTGGAAACGTTGAGGAAATGGATTGCAGGATCTCCGTGAAATTCATACCTTCATGAAGACAGAGAACCTTATGGAAAACAAAAATGGATGTTTCTCGAAGCCTGTCTGAAAGGCTACACACATATCTCACTCCAATCCCAGGGCCATCTGACCATATTATCTCTGTTTTAACCCCCACTGCTGATTTAGCCCCTCGAGTACAGTTGTGTAGATTGTCCTGTTCCATAGGACAGTGACGTGAAAGAAGGGACATTGTCAGGAGACAAGATTTGTTGCCTGTGCCTGCAACTTATACGTGGAACCTTGGAAAGTTATTGTGCCCTTTGTGTGTCTCACCATGCCCAGTATATAACATCCCATTATTATGTATTATTTATATAATTATACGCAAATTGACTTATGTGGATTCCACATAAATATATTCTATGTAAATCATTTGGAAGCTCTTCTCCTACCTTTTATAGCAAATTGTTTAAAGGTTTCTTTATTGACCATTCTTACATCACAGAGGTAAATTTTTTCACATATAAATTCTCGCCAGGATTTCTTTTTTGATTTCTCTGCAACACCTCATTTCTGATTGGCAGCTCACAGGTATGAATGCCTATGATGCCAACTGCTTCATGGGCAACTAGAAGTGAGGGACAACCTCCGACCCTGTCCTGCTTGATTTTCTCAAAACCTCTGGACAGATGAATCCCATGTTCACTGAGCCAAATTTCCCTCTCTTCCTAGGAAATGGGCTTAAAAACAATACCTTGACTCTTTAGGAAAAAGAGTTGAGCTACCTCTTACAAGAAGTGCTCCCGTGTTGGCAGGTGTGGCAACAAAAGGCTGGTGGATTAATTGCCACTCAGGACTATGTCGTAGACCATCAAGAAGGCCACTCCCCCCATATTTAAAAGCAGGTGTTTCCCTTCTGGAAGAGTGGGCAGGGGTGTCTCTTCCGGTTTCTGAAAGCGAAAACTGTCCCAGCTTGGGATGGCCTGACACAGACCCTCCCAGCAGAATCTCAGAGGAAAGCTGACACAGGGACTGGGCCCCAGGGGACAGATAAGAGAAATCCTGTGGAAGAGAAATTGGGCGGATGTGCTCGGTGCAACGACACCTTCGGCCAGCCCTTTCTTGATCATGGTGGTTCTCAGGAATCTTGTAGAGGTAATGACTGTGAGAAAAACTTGGTTTTAAAATCAACAGTTGAGCAGCATAATATGGTCCACACAGTACTGCCATCTTTTACAAACAATAGTCGTGGATTTAGATTTCTGGGTGCTGCCAAATCCTTGTGTTCATCCACAGTGCTCACAGAGGGGGAAAGTCTCGAAAATGTGACCAGCGTGGAAAGGACTTTCATCAGAGCCCAGATCTTGTTCCTTTCAGAGCCTATGCGGGTGGGATACCTTGTGAATGCCATGAATTGGCTGAGGGCTGCAGGTGGAGTTCACACCCTCCCAGGTCTCAACAAGACCCCTCCGGAGACAAACCCTATAAATGCAAAGAGCGTGGCAGGGACTTTGAGTGCAACTCCTCTCTCCACCATCGCCGAGTGCACACCAGCAAGATGCCCTACAAATGCGATGTGTGTGGGAAGGCATTCGGATGTAGGTCACTGCTTCGTACCCATCCGGGAGTGCACACAGGGAAGAAGCCCTGCAGATGTGGAGTGTGGGGAGGGCTTTGATCAGGGCTCCAACCTTCTTGTCCACCCTCGAGTCCACACCGCAGAGAAACCCTACAAGTGCAGTGAGTGTGGCAAGTGCTTTAGTTCAAGCTCTGTTCTTCAGGTGCACACAGGGGCAAAGCCTTTTAGGTGTGGAGAGTGTGGGAAGGGCTTCAGCCAAAATATACAACTTCACATCCACCAGAGGGTCCGCCCTGGGGAGCAGCCCTACAGCCGCAATGTGTGCAGAAAGGATTTTGCGTACAGTTCGGTTCTTCACACTCATCAGAGAGTTCACGCAAGATAAAACCATCTAAATGTGAAGTGTGTGGTAAAGGCTTCAGCTATAGCTCCTACTTTCACATACATCAAAGAGATCCCAGCAGAGAAAAACCCTATGAATGTGATGAGTGTGCAAACGACTTCAGTGAGTAAGGTGGTATCAGGGAAAGGGAGACCTTGATCTGCTCAGAGCAGGCTGCGAGGGGCAGTCTCCCAAATGTAACCCACAGTAAAAGAAGCACTCACACTCTGACTCAGTACACAGATCCAGAGATCCACACAGACCCTGACCAGTTAGTTTCAGTTCTATTAACCCACTTGGCCTCGTAAAAACTGCTGGTTATAACACAGCACTATAACTTGATTTCAGGACTCTTCAATGGGATTATATCTTAAACTTTGGAAAATAAGAAGCAAGATAGCCCTGCATCTCTAACCTGTAGATATAACTGTACCTTCAATTTCATACGGTTATTAAAACCCAGGGTCTAGAGCGGCACTGGGAGGTCTCAAATCGAGTAATTCATCTACTCTGTTTCTCAGTTGTTTCGTTTATAAAAGGGGGATAAATAATAGCAACTGTCTCATAAACTAAACCACAGTAGGTAACAACTGCATACGGACCTCCAGAATCAAAATAAGCTTAGGTATTTGTCAAAAAATAAGTTAATAGGTTAACGCTTAGGTACATTTACAACACACCAGGTACCACTACAATATAAGTGAGATCCAACCCAAGTTCCCCCTTTTTTCTTTTAACACTAATTTGTCCAAAACCTTGGATTTTCTCCAGAAACAACCAAAGGATCAGGTAATGTGAAGTTTATCGATCTCACTCAGAAAAATGTGGGGAAACTGAAACTCTCACCTAACAATAGTATGCAGAAAACTAGAAGTGGTTAACAAGGAGCTAATCTATCAACTTAATGAAGCCACATTCCAGCCCCAAGTGCATGTGAATACCTTTTGACCTTAGGAATCGTAAAATGTTATGGTGTCTAAACATTCTCTTGTGGTGTCTTTCTGCAGATGTTTCTTGTGTATCTACACAAGATAATGTGCTGATAATGTGTGTATAAATAACCAGATTTGCCTCAGTTAAAGCAGACAGTCTTTTGTCTCCTCTCTGCCTAGAGTGTCTTTCCTTTTCAATCCTCACTCTCTCCTTCAGGTACTGTTCGACGAGTGGGGGCTGGTCCCCCACAGAAAAGCATGAGGGTCAGAAGAGGTCTGGCTCACTTCTCAGAGGCCACAGGCTGGGCAACAGGGTTTGGAGAGAACCCCTTCTCCAGCACCCCAGCAAGGGCCACGTGCATCTGGAAAAGCTCATTAACAGCAGGATTTTTCACCCTAGCAGTTTTCTCTCCAGAGGCCGAAGTTTCTCTTTGGACTCCAACTGAAATTTCTATCTGTGGTGAAGCTCATCATGTGAGGAAAGAGTCCAGCTACTCACCCACCAAGATGAGGTTTCTGAGGTTCTCCAGCATCACATCCTGGTACAGGTTCATCGGAGCCTGGTCCAACTGCGCCAGCTCTTCTTCTGTGAAGGTCACAGCCACGTCCTTGAAGGTCATGCATTCCTAAAATGCCAAGCACACTCCATCCACACTTGTGACTGGCTCTGTCTGCCCAACTACCCAAAGAAGACAGCACAGACTCAAGAGACAGAAATTTATCTCTCATACTTTTGGTGGCAGAGAAGGCCAAAAAGAAGGCTTGTTTTCATTTTGTTACAGTTTCGTTTAGTTTTTGAGGTCACACCGTGTCACCTAGACTGGCCTCACACTTGTGATCCACCTCTGGAGTGCTGGGATTGCAAGCATGCACTGTCACACCCAAAAGTCTGTACATTTTAACTCTGGTTTTTGTTTTTGTTTTGGTACCGGGGATTGAACTCAGGTCCTTGTGCTTGCAAAGCAGGCCACCGAACCGCTGAGCTAAATCCCTGGCCCCATTTTAACTCTGATAAGCAAAGTCAGATCACCTCAGTAAAATTGGGCTCACTTTTAGCCTTTTAGAGTGCTTTCTTGTTTTCATGTCTTTGCATCGTCTGGAATTTGCTCTTGAACATTCTTTTATAAAATTAGTGGTTTTGAGATTTCCACTACAATTTCAATGTGAAATATAATTTGTAATATAGAAGTTTATATTCTTTTTCCATGAAAATGGCAATGAAAAGAGGTAAAAAAATAAAATAAGGGCTGGGGATTTAGCTCAGTCGTTCCACCACCTGCCTTGCAAGCACAAGGACCTGAGTTCGATCCCCAGTACCAAAAATAATAATAATAATAAAATAAAATAAAATACAGCTGAGAGGCCAGGTGGGGTGGAGGAGTTGCTTAGGTGTCAGACAATTATTCCAGGAATGGCACTGCCAAGACAGTCCAACATATCAAAAAGTTTCTGCACTGCAAAAGAAACCACCAACAGAGAAAAGAGACAACCTACAATAAGGGAAAAATTTTTACCAGCAGCTCCTCAGACAAAGGACTATTATCAGAATACACAAAAGACTCAAAAAAATCAGCCCCCCCAAATATAAAGACCCAATTCAAAAATTGGCATCTGAAATGAACAGACATTTCTCAAAGAAGTAAAAGCAGCAAATAAATAAATGAAAAAATGTAAAACAACACTGAGATTCCATCTCACCCCAGAAAGAATGGCTGCTATCAAGAAATCAACCAATAACAAATACTGGTGGGGGTTATGGGGAGAAAAGAACTCTTCTCCATTGTTGGTGGGAGTGCAGACTGGTGCAGCCTCTGTGAAAATCAATATGGAGACACCTCAAAGAACTAGGATTAGAGGTTCCATTTGACCCAGCTATCCCTCTGCTGGGTATCTTTCCAAATGAATTAAAAGAGTCATACCACAGTGATATATGTATACCCATGTCTATAGCAGCACAGTTTGTAATAGCTAAAACTTGGAAAGAGCCCAATTGCCCATCAGTTGGAGACTGGATAAAGAAGATGTGGGTTTTCTATAAAATGGAATATTACTCAGCCATAAAGAATGAGAAACTAGAGTCATTCATAGGAAAATGGATGCATATTGAGGCCTTACTCTTAAGTGAAATAAATAAGACACACGTGTATATACCAAATAGTTTCTCTGGTGTGAAAAACTAAAAGTATAAATAAGATCCAAATTGTGTAACTGACAATGTGAAATAGGAAGAAAAGGACTAAAGGTGTAGGGGAAGTGGAAAGGGGGTAGGGGAAAGGAAATAAGGGTAAAGAAAAAATACGAGAAAAGGAAAAAATGGAAACAAAGTCTTTGTAAATAGGGTAGTGGGGAGGGTGTGAAGGGAGAACAGAGGTATGGGGAGAAATGAGAACCAAGACCTGTCGTGTAAAGGTACAAGATCCCAGTGATAAATGTAACTGTACTGTATACTTTAAAAGTACCAATAAAGTCAATTAAAAAAAAAAAAGACAGTCCAGCACATCAGCCTGCCTTATCTGTTAAGAGTATTTTTTTTCTTCTGAGCAACTAAGGTTGAAAGTGCCAACTATAACCTTAAGGCTAGTTGTACATAATAATGCGGCATCTCACCAATCAGAGCCCACAAGTTCCCTCAAGCACTAAAAGTACTAATGAATGTTCTCTCATGAAAACACTCCAGCTAGCTTTCCCCACCCTGTCCAAACTGTTTTCTTGGGCTAAAGGCAATCAAGACCAGGGGGCAATGAGGGTCTCTCTGGGCAGAAGGCAGGTGGGAAAGGTGGACAGTAGATCCACAGGTGAGGCACTAAAGCCATGCAGCACAGGACATCTCAAGATCCTTGCTTTTACCTCACCTGCCAAAGTCCACACAACTCTCCCACAATGGCCTCTTTGGTCTCTCAATCTGCTCACTACTCAGATCTAAGTCACTGTGATAGGAATGTGACCAGGTGGCCCTACCAACTTGAGGGACGAGGACCCAGAGGAAAAGTGCAGCTGCTGAAACTGCAATTGTCCAGAAAGACAATTAGAAATGTAAATCCTACGCTCTCCCCCAAACTCTGCTTCCTAATGCCTGCCCCCCAGATGTTCCAGGAGCTGCAGACAGAGACTAACATGAGCTCTTCTAGATGTGCCTAGCAAGCCCACACCAGGTAAAGCCCATTTCTTCTGTGTGTGGTCATGTCAAAGCTGTGCATCCAGGACCTGTGAGTATCTGAGTCCAAAGGACTCTGTGAGGTCAGTGCAGGCCCTAAGGGCCTGTGGCAAGATTGCAAAAAGGGCTCTTGCCAGTCCATGCAATGCTGGGCAAATAAGGAGGAAAAAACCACATCTTTTCTTCAGCGTACTTTTCTCCCACCTGTTGGAACCTTGTTATGCCGATTTTGCCAGAACAAGATTTTTTTCACTGTTACCCACTGAAAAACTTTCTGTGTGTGTGTGTGTGTGTGTGTGTGTGTGTGGTCCCCCTTTTGTGGAACCCAGCCTGCCCACTGTGCACTGAAGCAGCGCCCCAGGAAGTGTATCCAAAACACTCAGTGAGACATGGCTGAGTGTACTTGACAGAGGTAACACTGTTCAGCTCATGTAAGCCCGACCATGGGTGAGCTTTCCTAACGACCTCCCATATCCCTCACCCGTGGGGATCTTGCTGCTCTGGTCAGATCACCAGATCTTGTAGCAACAACTGTTATTACGTTTTTCACACTGAAATGCAATTTTTCTCATTCCTTTTTACTACCTTTCCAGGATGTGCTCCTTGTGCATAGCGACTGTATTATTCACATGCACGTGGCAAGATTTAGCATGTAACAGGTGTCAAGTAAATGAGCACGCAAGTCTGAAGAGGTTTAAATTCCTCAGATCAAAGGGGCAAGGATAATGGTCAAACATGGATTTGACCTATTCATGAGAAAACACAGAAGCATCTAGATGTTATTCTGAAATCACTCAGCCTGGGCTCACATCTTGACTTTGTCTTTCACTGGCTGTGTTCAGAAGCCAAGGTTCCCTCTCAGATCAGAACTGGCCCCACTCTCCCGCCTCCCCACCCCCTCGCCAAAACCTGAATAGCCTGAGCTGTCCTCCACACCCAGAAATGAACTAGCTAAGCAAATTCCTCCCTGCTCGGGGTCCCCCAGCGCAAGCCATATTCCCAACACCTGGGACAACTCCCCCTGCTCCGGCCCTGATGCGCAAGACTGACCTCCAAACCCCAACTCTGGTGTATAACCTGTCATTATTGCGAGATGTGAAGATGCTCTCTCTGCCTAAGTCAAATCTGGGCCGCTCCCCAAATCGAGCCCACCTCATTCCAGAGAGGCCAGAGTGGGCAACCTCCCCAACTCACCCGGTCCAAGAGGCCCTTTCATCAGCCATCAGTCTCCACTTCCAACTAGTACTTCAGTCACAAACCCCGATCCCCGCCGCATAACCCCATTCCCACTCCTGACGATGTATCCAAGGTGTGGCACGGTGCCAGCGCGACTCACCTTGGCATCCACGACTTGTCCCTCTGAAGTCGCCTCGGGCCACAGCGCATGCGCAGGAGAGCGTGAGGACTATAAACCCCAGAAAGCCCTGCGCGGCAGCGGCCTGCTCTCCCATAGGCTGAGCCTCCTGGAGATGCTTGGAATGTGTACATACATCTAAAATAATAACAATCACAATGGTGATCAAATAATAGTGGAATGTTAATAATTAAAATAAAGACAATTAAGATAAATTAAGAATTAAGATAAATCGTTAGGAAAGACAGTATCACCACCTAGGAAGAACTGTTTACTGTTTTAATAAAAAAATCTTTATAGATTCTTATTCTGTATACATCCTTTAATTTTATAACCACTCAACTTTTCAGTTAAAATTCACAATTTTTGTTGAAGCTGACTCTGGAAAAGCTACACTGCAGTCTTAAAGAAGTGTTTCCCCATATCGGGAGAAGCGGAGAATTAACAACCATTGTCCAATCGTTCTTAACTCTTCAATGCCTAGTGATCCATTTTTGAACGCCCATAACAATAGGACATAATGAAATGCATTCTCTTCTAATTCTTGTTCCTTGAATTTTTCTAGGTTAATACATATGAATTTCATGCAAAAATTCAAAACATTTCAATCTTCAGCATAGACTGGTTAATGGGGAATAACAAGAGAACTGGTGCTCTGTTGAAAGACAGGTAAGTGGGCTGAGGATTTAGCTCAGTGGTCTGCCAGCTACCGTGCCAGGTTCCAAGTTCAATCCCTGGTACAAAAAAAAAAGATAAGTTCAACAAGGAAAAGAAGGAGGGAGTTTTTTCAGAAGCTTCCTTGGTTGGGACATATTTTATTTGTTTGTTTATTCATTCATTTGCACTGTAAAGTATCTATTCAAGAAAGGTACTGGTGCTCTAATGTAATGTGGATTTCACTACAAGCCCACAATTGTGGCCTAGAGGAAAGAATCAAAAGCAGGGGAGAACAATGTGGCCCTCTGGCACCGTGGCCTGGGTACCTCTGGCACAGGTTCTGTTTGAAATATCTGTCTGGCATTCCATTTGGCATCTCCGTCTCCACCCACAGACTTTGGGGGACCTGGGCTAGGCAGATAATTGAAGGCTTTCACCTCTAGAAAAAAAGCTGGAAGAATCATATCCAGTGAGAGCTTGACATGGCTAATTAGGGGACATAAAGGACAGTAAAATTCTTTGGCTTATTTTTTGACCTTTTAATGTCATGACATTTCAGTGTCATTATGATTTAGAAAAACAAAATCTAGTAAGATCTGATGCAGAAATAGGAGCCATCCTTAATTTGGGCAGGTCCTAAATCAGTAATTTTATTCATTGAGGATGGGAGTATCTTTAATGTGCCTTAGTAAATTTGTGATAAATATATATATCTATATAGATAGATAGATAGATCTATCTATCTATATAGATAGATATATATATCCCCTCCACAACTGAGTTATTCTTTTTTAGCCCTCTTTCTCTCAGACCTAGCCTTCTACTATTTTTCAGTTGCTCATTGAGAAAATGGGCACACTGGGCTTTGGGTAATCCTTCTAATGCAAGTCTTTGCATGGATTGTTCCTTCTGATGGTGCATCCTATTTCCAAATAGATAGAGGACTTCCTTCTTTACTGTTGTAGTCAGGGTTTTGGCAAGGGCATACATTAAATACAGAACATGTAATTTATAAGATTATTTTATGATAAATACTCAAAAAGTCAAATGCAGGGCCAGGGATTTAGCTCAGTGGTTCCACCACCTGCCTTGCAAGCACGAGGACCCGTGTTCAATCACTGGTACAAAAAAAAAAAAAGTCAAATGCAAAGGACTGCAAGGGATTAATCACACACTAGAGGACCAAAGAATCTAGCCAAAGGTCTGTATCCCAGTAATGTCCCACACAAGTCCAGCTAAAGGCTTAGAGTCCAAGGCAATGTCCTCTTCGAGTCCAGCCAGAGGCCTAGGGCCATGTCTCATACTTGTCTGTATTGAGGATCTGTACCCAGAAGGCCCAAAGGCCAGGGGTGGATGCCAGAAAACCTACTCTGCTGAGATAAAGGATCTGTGCCACCAAACTGAGGGATCCATACTGAAGCCAGGAAGTGATGCTCACAGTGACGATCACAGCTCCCCTAATGAAAACAGCAGCCATTCCCAGCAACAGCAAGGCTCTGAGCTCTTCCTCCGATGAGAACAGCCTGGTTCCCACCAGGAAAACCACCCATAGCAAGCTTCTCCTAGAAAATCAAGAGCAAAGATCTTCTCCTCCACTTCTTGTTTTATGGCTACTGGCAACAACCCTCAGGTAGGTCCTCCACGCCCAGACCACACTGAGTCAGTTCAGCTGGGCGTTACAAGTTAACCATTAGTTAATCCACTACATTTCCTTTACTCATTGCTCAAATTTCACTCCGTAAAGTTTAATATGGCACATCCCCCACCATTTAAAATAACAACCCCTGGCTTTATCACCTGCCTTACCCCACTTTACTCCCCCACCACACATATTTATCACCATCTAAGATACCGTATCATTAATTTACATGTTTTGTTTACTGCCTACCTCTTTATACTAGGAATCGCACTCCACCAGGACAAAAACTTTTGTTGATTTTATACAATATTTTAAGTATGCCTGCATTTTGACTGTAACTTGTCATAAAACACAAGGTATGAATTTTCCACTTCTGAACTTTTGAAGTTTAATTATGTATTTTAGGCAAGTTAATACTTCTTTTATTTTGGTTGATCATTTGGTAAAATTATACCTTTTGTTTTTTGCAAAGGGGAAATATTGAGAAAATAATAGAAATTAACATTTTTATTAGTGAACCTAATTTATTTCAAAACACTTGGAAACCACAAATCTCTATCCAGAAGTGGATACATTTATGGCATAGTACACACAGTTGATAACCTAGCAAGGTAGCCAGAAACACACACACACACACACGCACGCACACACACGCACACACTTTTTCTCATACAATAGACACTTTCAAATGTTCGTTTTGCAATTTTGCAAATATCACATTTTCAATGAAGTATTTTCAACATTTACTGAAGAAATTCCATTGGAATAAAAGTCCTTTCCATAAAATATTCAGAGCTCTATTTTTTTTTTTGCCCACTTGACTTTATATTCATTTGTACAATCTTCATTTCTTGCCTTCAAAGAAAAATTCAAAATGCTCTGGGGAAATCATCCAACTATATCAAGTACCAATATTAGTTTTATCTATAACTTTGAGGAAGCCTATGTAGGTCTGATGGTTAAACTGGCATTTTCCACAATTTCAAACCCTCTCCAAAGCCACTAGATGGAACACTCTTGCTACTTCTCTATTTGTACATTCGTGGGCTTGGAGGAGACAATCCTAGGATGGCAGCCAGTTTTCCAGAGATCAACAACTGTTCCCCCAGACCTTCTGTCACTGCCAAGGGTGCTAAATTCTGGGGCTTAATTCTCAAGAGAGCTCTTCTGGGCAATTTGAAGGGAATGAAATTTTAGCAAAAGTTGTATCAGATGTCATTTTGGGTTTTCCTTCTTTTCTCCAGGGGATATACCTCTATTCTCTGGTCTTTCAGTTTATCTCTTTATTTATTTATTTATCTTTTTGGAGACAGGGTCTTACTTTGTAGTTCAGGCTGGCCTTGAACTATGTAATACAGGTTGCCCTCGACCTTGTGACAATCCTCCTGCCTCAGCCTCCAAAGTGCTTGGATTACAAGTATGTGTCACTACACCAAGCCAACATATTTTTTAAATTTTCCTTTCTAGGACAGTGATTCACAGGATGAGAATTCATGACTTACAGAAAAATGTTAGAAAGACTGAACCAAATATTAAAAATGAAAGAATAACTAAAAAGCTTGCTACACTAAATGCTTCTTACAAGCTTAATTCAGGTGAAGAACACTTACCCAGAGAAGCAGGTCCACAGAGGACTCTCTTATTAAGGAATACATCACAGAGAATAGACAATAGCACATAGGAGAGACAAATTTTTTGAAAATAATGCTTCTTTATGCTACTTTAAGTATATTAAAGTAATCCTTCATATCCTTTATATTATCCATGCATTCTCATTCTCTCATCTGAACATTTTCTGGTCTAAATTTTAGTTATCCATTTCCAAGGAACTATTTTATTTTTGGCAGGTAATATTGTTGCAGAAGGAACTGGTAAGTGACACAGAGAGACACAAAAGTAGGTAAAACAAAAACATTTACTTTGCTAGCAAAGGGTCAGCCTGCACCAAGAACTGTGCCATATGACCAATCCTGGCTGGGTTACTATCTGCTTTTTATAGGAGTTTTACAATTATGACCTCATTTTAGGTAATTTGATAAGACATTCCAGTTCTTTCAGTTGCCATCACAAATCATGGTCACAGGACACTTTAATTTTAACCCAAATATAGCATCTTCAGTTTGAACATCTGATCTCACCCTGGGGATGAAGCTATGCATTTCCGGCATCTGTTAATCTTATAACATTTTAAACTGGGGCTATGTGCTTTCAAGCTTTGTAGTTAATGATGAAACCTCTGGTATTGTTGTCCTAAGAAGCAAAGCAAATTATAGAAGCAAAAGACAGTGGTTATTCTGTATTTCCCTAACATTTTGTAGGCTTCAGGCTATTTACAGAAGTTCTCTTTATCAACATCCCTAGGAATCCAAGCCCTAAGGAGTGACTAGCTCATGCCAAGACAAATGGAAATCTCAGAACCCTGGATGATCTTTGCTATTTGACTACTCATTTTTTTCTACGTGGTTAAACAAGATGGAAAACTGTTTCTTTTTTATTTAACTAATTTTTCTAATCATATCAATTATAGCAAAACATTATGTATGTCTAAAAGAAAAAAGGCTTGACATAAACCAAAATATCAAATAGATACATTCATAATCTTTCAATTTTGATCCATACACAAATATAGTTCCAGAAAATATTTCTGTATTTTTCTCCAGCATTTTTCCATTTTGTATCATAGTCATTTTCCTTTTCGTCCTCTCAAAATCATCACTTTATAACAGAAAGTGCTATTTTTTTAAAAGTGTGTAAACTACTTAATGGGGAAATCATGCTGTAGAATGACACACGGTAACACTGTTTTCCAACCTACATTGCAAACACTACAGCAATCTTTCAACCTTCTCTATAACAAGCACACCAGTGTTACCTTTTCTGTGCTCTTTTTGGGAAAAGGTCCACACCTCATTGGTTTTCTCTCCAATTCAGGACTGTGTGCTTTCTGCAAGGAAAAGCACCCATATTTAATAATTTTCCAGGAATGCATGTAATGCCAAGTTTGATTTTGCAAGTGACACCAAGTTAAAAATGTGCAGTACACAGATTTTCCCATTTTCTTCATACAAAATTCTAGAAACATAACAAACAAGTGACCAAGTTTATCAGCATACATTATCTAAACAAACTCCATTAAAATAAACCTCTAAAAAGAACAAAAGTAGAAGGAATCAATTCTGGTTTGAAGATTTGTAAACTAGCTATATTCATGGGGTTTATGTTCATTATGAGTTGCCTGATGCCTCAGAAGCTTAGAGCTATTAATGAAAGCTTTCCCACACTGATGACATGTAAAGGGTTTCTCTCCAGTGTGAGTTCTTTGATGTACTATAAGTCGAGCACTCAAGCTAAACGTCTTTCCACACTGATTACATTCATATGGTTTCTCTCCAGTATGAGTCCTCTGGTGTTGAGTAAGGCATGAACTCTGCCTGAAGGATTTCCCACACTGATTGCACTCATAGGGCTTCTCTCCAGTATGAGTTCTCTGATGTACAACAAGAACATAACTCTGGCTGAAGGATTTCCCACACTGACTACATTCATAGGGTTTTTCTCCAGTATGAGTTCTCTGATGCATAACAAGATGAGAACTGCGGTTGAAAGATTTTCCACACTCATTACACTCATAGGGCTTCTCTCCAGTGTGAGTTCTTTGATGTGCCACCAGCTGAGAGCTCCAGCTGAAAGATTTTCCACACTGATTACATTCAAAGGGCTTTTCCCCTGTGTGAGTTCTCTGGTGAGCAACAAGTTTATAACTTTGACTGAAGGATTTCCCACATTGATTGCATTCATAAGGCTTTTCTCCAGTGTGAATTCTTTGATGTGCAATAAGTTTATAACTCTGGATAAATGATTTCCCACATTGACTGCACTCGTAGGGTTTCTCTCCGGTATGAGTTCTTTGATGTGCAATAAGCTTATAGCTCTGCCTGAATGACTTCCCACACTGGCTGCATTCATAAGGCTTCTCTCCAGTGTGAGTTCTCTGGTGCACAACAAGTACATAGCTCTGGCTAAAGGATTTCCCACACTGATTACATCTGTATGGTTTCTCTCCGGTATGAGTTCTCTGGTGGGAAACAAGGTGTGAGCTCCGACTGAAGGATTTTCCACATTCATTACATTCATACGGTTTCTCCCCTGTATGAGTTCTCTGATGTGCAACAAGATGTGAGCTCCAGCTAAAAGATTTCCCACACTGATTACATTCAAAGGGTTTCTCCTCAGATGGATTTCTCATGTTTTGAGCAATGGATGAATTCTGAGAAATCTGACTACATTTATACTGATTCTCTTCAAAAGGAATCCTCTGTTGTTCATTAAGAGATAAGTCACAGTTCAAAAGTTGCTCACATTCTTTAAAATCAAAGCTTTTACTTCCTGAATGAATTTTCTCATTTTTATTTATGGGTGTTGCATGACTAAAAGGCTTAATACTGTCCCTAAATTCATAGGATTTATCTCTTTTTTGAGTTCTTGTAAACGGAATGAGATGTATGTTCTGAGAGAGTTTCCCACATTTATTATTTTCACAAAGTTCATCACTGTCATTAATCTTCTGAAGACTGTTTACAACAGAATCAGGATGCAATTTTTTAACATATGATGCATGTTTATGAAAATGGTTTTTAATGGGTATCATGGGAAGTGAAAGAACACTGGAATTAACACCATACTTCTCCTTAGGTTCATCACTTTTGCGGACCCTTTCATGAATAACTGCTTTCCTTTGAGTGAACTCCACTTCTTGCAAAAGTCTCCCTTGCTTCTCCTGTTGTTTCTCCAACTGGTCCTTAAAGCTATAAATTTCTTCACATGAAGACAGCCAAGGATCGTCTCTTGCTAACTTTTCTATCTTAACTGCATGGGAGAGTTCATCAAAAATGTTCTGCTTTAAGGTTGATTCTCTTCTTCCAAATGCAGTTGCTAGGTCTGGAATAAAGCAAAATAAGACATAAGACATCAAAATAAGACAAATTATGGTAGAGCTAGGATATTGGAATAAATGTCACAAGAAAGAATGTAAAATATATGGATTTGCTTTCAGCTATGAATCTATATAACCTGGGTTGAGAAAGCAAAAGGGTGGGGAATAAGCAGTAAATACAGAACTACCAGAGCCCAACAGTATAACAAGGCTTTCAACTGGAATTATTTTTATCTTATTTTTGTTTGAATAAGCAAGATTTTGAATGTCAAGTAGTTTCACATTCTTAAATAAGATCATGTATGCAGAATATACAGAATCTTAACACAATCTTGCAATACTTAGCAAAGAAATAGAAGGATCTTTCCACCTTTATTAGTGCTAGACACATGTTCACTACAATAGATCATTGTACATATCTAAGAATTTCTAGAGGCATGAAACTTGCTAAGTCTGTGTAAGCAAGATGTGAACAAACTGCATTTACAAACCTAAGAGAGAAAAAGGGCACAATTATCACAGTTCCCCAAATACCTCACAGGCTAATATGCCCCATGGATTCCTGTGATTCCAACTGAGAGGGAATAGCAGTTTGCTCAGAAGAACAAGCCTGAATGGCTATTAGATAATTTCATGATTTGTACAACTGGAAAAGTGGTGACCAGGATGTGCGAAAAAATGTGGCATTCTCCTATAAAACAAACATGTTATACCCATTATGACTTGTGTGTCTGGTTCCTAACTGGACTCGTCATTGGGAAGCTCTTTTTACACTCTTCCCCCTAATCTAGATCTAATCTTTAGATCTAGTTTGAAACGCTGATAGAGAAAGATGTTGGACATTTTTGTGTTTGAGCTGGGGACAAAATAAATTACTGCAGAATTTCTGGCCTTTGACCTTTAGAAGCCATGAATACTGAATAAGCTCAAGACCAAGAAATTTAACCCATTCTACCTAACAAATCAAAAGTAATCCTCACAATGTGTGTGTGGTTAAAACAATTCTGGCTGCCAAACTCCACAGTTCTTAATGGGGATGTGAAAAGATTTCAAGAGATACACCTTCATTATGTGGGATGATACACTTACCCCAAGAGACCAGGTTCCTGTGGTTCTCCAGGGTTACACCTCTGTCTCTGTCTGGAGTCCTTACAGCAGGGTTCCAAGTGCCCTGATCCTCATGCGTGAAGTCCACAGTCACAATTTTGAAGTTTACTCCTTCCTAAAACAGAACACATATTCATGCTCAGTGGGCATTATTTCATTTCAATTGTTATTAAGAAGGAAAATGTTTGACAGATGGAAGTATAACAATCTGATGACCTAGGGAGGCTGTCATTGTCCAAAAGATTCTGGTTGAAGTGTGTAGATGTCTGGATTTTTGACACTGGACCTTTATTTACTTATTTATTTATTTATTTTTAGTACCTTTCTTTTTTTTTTTTTTAAGTTTGGACCTTTTTTTAAACCCCAAAGAGGGACATCAGATAAGAACTGATATAAATTATTCTTCCCTTTGTCCACATTACAGAAATTTTATTCTGAATTTTATACTGGTGAATTCTCACTTAAGAATTTCCTTCAGATTCACAAGAAACTAACAAAACCAGGGTGGGCAAATTTTTTTCCGTCAAAGATCAGTTAGTATATATTTTGGGCTTTGCAGTCCATATATACTCTATCACAACTACTAAACTCTCCAGCTGTCACAAGAAACCAGTCACAGAAACCATGTAAACAAATTGCCTGGTTATATTATAGTAAAACTTTATTTACAAAAACAGGCTGTGAGCCTGCAGGCTGATCTTTGTAAATGCCCAAGACAGAAGATGATGTATAAGCCTCAATGAAAGTCAGTATATATAGGTAAAGAGCACTAGATTTAAAAGACATTTGGATTTTATAACTATAATAATTATATATATGAAATAGAATTTTGAATTGTGAAGTTTTACTACATGTATATCAAATGCCTTTGATCAGACTTTTACGAGTGTTTATTTGTAATTTTATAGTTTGTCTTTTAATGGTGAATTTATTCCATTTCTATTTATTAGGCATAGTCCCACCCAACTCATTGAGTTCCTGACTGAATCGTGATAATACACAAAAAGACTATCACTAGAGTTTACTAAACAAATCACAAGGCTGCCCATTATTAGTAAGATTGTTAGGTCTGAGAATCCTGAAAGATTAAATGACAGCCAATGTGACCTTTATCCTGAACACTTAGTCTTCAGATGACAATATTATTTACTTTTTTTTTTTTTTAGAGGAGATGGTTAAATAGGAGGTTGAGTATGTAGTTCAGGCTGTCCTTGAACTCACTGTGTAGCCCAGGCTGGCTTTAACTATCAACAATCTTCCTGCCTCAGCCTCCTGAGTACTGGGATTACAAGTAAGCACCACCAAACCCAGTTGACAGTTCTATTTCTGTACATACTCAGCTTCAAGGCAGAACCTTCTAGGAGACAATCATTGTCATTACAGCCATATAAATGAGGCCTCTTGCCCTGCCTCCTCTAAGTAGGAAAGACCTATTTCCAAGACCGGAATTCTGACCCCAAAGAGAAGGGCTGAGAGTGCCCAAAGACAGAAAACAACAGGAAGTCCAACACCTCTTGCCACAAAAGGGTCTTTATATAGACAAGGCATTCTTAAATTATGGTTCATGCATAGGATACTTGGTCCTGAAACCCATGAAACTACATGTAAAATGCTGCTCTACGTGCGTTTTCCATTAAGTTTCACCAAAATCTGAGTTTTTCACAATTAACCCAAAATAGGATTTGGACATATATTTGGACATATAATTTACAAACCACACCTATGTATGATATTCAGGGTACTCTTTTTCAATCCCTAATCCATGCTTCTTTTCAACACTCCCCTTTACTGTTTAACGCAGGTCCCTGTAGTACTGAGCTTGTTCAAATATCAAATAAACAACAGGAGACTAGATTTATACCTCTCACTCCATCCCTTTGCAATCATTTTCAAAGCACCATGGAATTCAAACTTAAGACTCAATACACTTTCTCTACAACCAGCATCTGTATCATTAGACCATGACCCATAAGAGCACAGAGAAGTTATTTATAGTTTGCAACCATAATTCTAACCCTTATCATAATGCTAATGTATAGTAGATACTAAATACATTACATTTAATATATTAAATTATTTCAATAAATGAGTCAATGGTATTATTTCTAATAAATCAAAATAACCCTGGTCCAAATTCTACTTTAAATTCTCTCTTCTCACCTGAACCACAGAAGGCATATCATATACCCATGTGAAAAAGTCCTCCAATATGCAGATACTGGCTTTTCTGGACTTCCATTCCAGTTATTTTATTCTTCCTCTCATGTGTCCAAAATACCCTTGCATTGACTCTCTGCCATGCTGTTTTCTGCCTTAGAGGTAGCCAATGCTGGCTGGACAAAGTCAGAATAAATCTGTCCTCCTTTAAGATGAGGATGTCAGGTATTGTGGATCAGCAATGGGAAAGTAACTAAGATACCTAACTTCATGGAGTGTGTCCTTCCAACCTCCCAAATCCCACTACTCCCATCCACTGAGGACTCGTACCTAGGATTAACCCTGTACTACAAGAACTTTTATTATCTTATCTTGCATCACCTACAGCATCAACTTGTAGGCTCCTCTCATAATACAGTGGACCCTTGAGTTACAACTGGCCTTACATACAAACAACTTGGGTTACAGCCAGAATTTTAGTTTTAACTTATGACCAAAGTCTTGACCCAAATGGCAGCTGCGTGTGTGGTTGTAAACAAAGGCTAGCAATGTCAGAAAACCATAAGTAAGCATACGTAAGCATCAGTCTGAGCCTAGATGTGCATGCTTGTTGGCATGATTTTAGTCAGTGCTTTATATAATTGCTACAATTACTGCTATTAAAGTGGCCCCCAAAAAGCTACAAAAGAAGCTAAGGAAGGTAAAGAAAGAATCACAATAGAAAAGAAGAAGGAAATTGTGCAGAAATATGAGTGGTGTTCATTTGACTGATCTCACTAATATGTACAGCACGTTGAAATCCACCATCTTGACAATCTTACAGAGAAAAGACTTGTATAAGGAAGGAAGCTAGTGTTACTAAAGTGTTACTCAAATTAGTAAGTCATTATCAACAGTGTTAGATGGTGTAGAAAGGCTATTGATTAGTGTGGATAAATGAAAGGCAGATGTCAGTATAGCCTATCTGAGTCTATAATTGCTATAAATGCACATCTCATAAAGGATAATCCATTAGCAAGTGATAATGGTGAAACATTTCATGCCAGTAAGGAGTTGTTTCACAGTTTTAAAGCAAGAACTGGGGTTCATAGCATAACTAGACACAGTGAAACAGCCAGTGCTTATAAAAGGGCTGCTGAAAATTACATACACCACTTCAAAATGATGACATGGAGAAAGGGCTTTTGCTCTCATCAAGTTTTCAACTGTGATGAAACTGGCCTTTTCTGGAAGAAAATGCTCAGAACATACATTACTCAGGAAGAGAAGAAAGTGCCAGGCTACAAGCCTATGAAGGATAAGCTAACCTTAATGCTATGAGACAATGCAAGTGGTGGCCTCAAGATAAAGCCTCTCTTCATTTATCACTCTGAGACCCCTAAAGTGTTCAGAAAACATAAAGTCATGAATAGGCTAGGGGTCATTTGGAAATCTAATGCAGAAACCTGGGTAACAAGAGTACATTTTCTTGAGTGGACTGGGGAGGCTTTCTGTCCTACTGTTAAGAAATATCTAGCGGACAAAAGTTTACCACTCAAGGTTCTCTCTCCTCATCATGGACAATGCTCCTGCTTCTGATGAGATTTGGAAGAACTGGCTGAAGAATTCTCATGGCTCTCAGTTGAGTTCCTTCCACCTAATACAACTTCTCTACTGCAGCCTATGAACTAGCAGGTTATACATAACTTTAAGAAGCAATACACCAAGGGACTGTTCCTGAAGTGCTTCCAGATGGTCTCAGATACAAATTTAACCCTTAACAGAGTTCTGGAAGGAACATCACAACATTCTTTCTTGTGTGGGTCTAAAAGAGAAATCCTAGGTCAATGTCTGAGGACACTGAGATCTGTGTGGAAGAAAGTGTGGCCTAAAATTACACAGAAGAGAGACTCTGAAGGCTGTGTAGAGGAGCCTGAGCCTTCAACTGATCCTGTGGTTGATGACAGTCACTACAGCAGAGTCCATAGGCTTGCAGGTAAATAGTGGTGATGCTGAAGAAATGGAGGAGCAACACACAGAGGAACCGTCTATAGAGAAACTTCAGCAACTTTTTCCTGAGCCACAGAGAATGGCAGCTGAAGTTTGTTCTAGAAACAAATTGCTGCTTTGCTGCCTCCTGCCTACTTTGCCATGGACTATTTCTCCTCTACAATGCCTCTCTGCCATGCCACCCTGCCTTGGAGCCAGCCAATTATGGACTGAAACCCCTACAAACTGTGAACTGAAATAAGCCTTTCCTCCTTTAACTTTGTGTGTTGGGTATTTTGTCTCAGCAACAAGAAAAGTAACTGAGACAATATGCTTTTCCTTTCTATGCTGGGCATTCTTTTCCTTTTTTTAGAATTGGGGATTAAACCCAAGGCCTTGCCACTGAGCTGCATCTCCAGCCTTTTTTATAATTTTGAGATAGGGTCTTGCTAAGTTGTTAAGTTGCCCGGGCTGGGCTCAAACTTGCAATCCTCCTGCCTCAACCTCAAAGAGTGCTGGGATTAGAGGCCCAGAACATCTTTTCTATCTTAATTATTCACTTTAAAGTTAATGGATCATACATTTTAATCTTTCTATTTGAGACATTTAAAAATTCTCTTTCAAATATTACCTTGATTTATAGATCTCCCACTGACTGTACCCAGTATATACAGAATGAATTTGAATGATATTCTCCTATCTACAGAAAGTGGGTTTTAAAATGCCACTGGGAAAAAAAAAAAGCCACAGCTGAACGGAGAATTATAAATTAAGAATCATTGTCTTGTAATGATCCTTCTGGAGTACCCAGCAACTCTATTATACCTAGGAGGACAAATTTTATGCCTTCTCCACTCCTGTCAAATATTTCTTCACACCAATTCCCAACCTCACCCTCACCTGATCTTCCATAGAGTAAACCCAACTTCAACTTCACATCTCCCTCACCTTAATTTTTCCAGTAGAAATCTTCCCCACAGATAGTCAATTTATTCATACATTTACTGAACTTATTCTGGTACCAAAGATTTTCTATAGTTTACTTCCTTTATTTTCTCTGTCTACTGATTAACTTCTTTTCCTCCACTAATTCATTCCTGCAATCACTTAAGTAGAGTTGAATCTTTTCAATCCTTTAATAAAAACCAGTTTTTAATCTCAAATATCCTTTAAGTTCTCTCTTTTTTGATCTTTCAATCATCAAATTTCTTGGAAATTTCCCCAGTCTCATTTCCATTTCCTCACTTTTACTCACTTCCAAGCTCTCCTGGCTTCTATCACTGACTAGTCACACACAGTTTTCAATGGAAAGAAAGAAGCCCTGCTTGCCTCACCTGGGATGGAATGGTCAGTGGCCCAGCATCTTCTCCCTCTACCTTGATGATAATCTCTTGAGGAGGGAAAGAGTCCTGAGACAGTAGAACAGATGAAAGAAGGAAAAAATTAGGGAAATAAGATATAGCTCAAAACTCCCACTGCGAGTCAGCTAGAATTTGACATATGAGCTGTTCTAACACATTCCACTGCCAACCTTGGGCTCCTGGCTATTGGTACATTCAAACTGACCATGTGGGGAAAGAGAGGGGAACCTTGTGGGACACCGAGGGCCCAGACACAGGCAGGAGGTCCTTGTGGATCTTCTGGGCTGGCCTCATTGCCGGCTCAATATAGTTGTAGTGACCCCAGATACTACATGTGGTAAAAGAACTGTTCAGTCAGGTCCTGCATCACAGAACTGGAGTAAATAAAATGGACTACAGCACCATGAAAGTCAGACTCATCAAGGAAAGATAACAAATTAATTGAAAAAATATTTAGCAGAAAGCATCACCAATAAAGGACCCGTCAATAAAGGTGAATGCTACTAAGACTCTTCAAACCAATAAGAAAATGGTAACCTCAACAAAAAATATGGACAAGGGAAAACATGCAAACAACTCAATCAAGAATAAAATGGCAAGAGAATATATAAGCAGATTCTCACCTTTTTTAAGTCAAATACAATCAAATATGTATTTCTAAACGTCTATAGAGGCCATGAATTCACACTGATACCTCTAAATAGAATTTCAAACACTGTTTATTCTACATTTCCTGCTTTCTGTAGTTATATCTTCTGTGTTAGCTTTTCATTACTGTCACAAAATACTGAGGTTACCAACTTTAAGGAAGGAAAGACTTTTTTTGACTCACAGTTTCAGAGGTTCAAGTGCATGAGCAGTTGGCCCTGTTGTTTGGGTTGTGGCGGTATAATACGGCAAAAATGTGTGGACAGCTTCATGCTACTCACCTCATGCCAGCAGGAAGCAAACAGAGAGGACAAGACTGGGGTCACAAACATCCCCTTTAAGGGCACGGCCCCAGTGGCCTAACTTCTTTCTGCTGGACCTCACTGCCCAAAGGCTTCCCACAGCCACACAGGCTAGGACCCACACCTTTAACACAAGGCCCTTTGCCGAACACTTTTCTAAACCATATCATCTTCTCAGGTTCCTCGTATCCTCTTTATATTTACTAACTTGCTCAAACTCTTGTAAATGACCAACATTCTGACTACACAGAGTGTTTGTTTACCGTTAATGATTCCTATTCTGACAGCCCACTTACCAAGCTTCATGCATTCTTAGTAGAAGTACAAGTTGAACAACCTTCTTGGATTTGGTCTATGTTTATAAATAATCCTTCCTTCTCTCTCTCCCTCCATCCTTCTTTCTTCCTTCCTTTTTTTCAATTCATCATGGTTGAACAAGGCTACATCTCCAGCCTTTTCAAAAAAATTTTTAATCTTGAAACAGAGTCTTGCTATGTTGTTAAGTTTCTCAGGCAGGGCTCACACTTGAGATCCTCTTGCTCAGCCTCCAAGCACTAGGACTACAGGCATGCACAATGATGGCTGGCTAAATACTGTTTTATTTTTGAAGTGTTGAAGACTCACAAGAAGTTACAAAAACAGAACTCTATGCAGCTCTCCCTAATGGTAATACTATACACAATCAAGCACACTGTCAAAAACTGTGTGGATAGTGGCACAATATTAACTCAGGAAGTGGACACTGGCATAAGGTTAACTCAGGTACAGACTTTATTCAGATTTCTTCAGTTTTTTATATATTTTTGTGGGATTTTTAGTTTTTTAATGTAATACGTCAAAGTATCTATCCTCTTCTAGAGGTAGGTACAAAAAAATCTCATTAAAAAGTTATCATAGCAAAAATGGGAGGGGGGATTAAATGCCCACTAGCGAGTGCCCAGTTGAATAAATTATGATTCATCCAGATGAATGAATACTATTTAGCACTGGTAGCCAAAGAGAGAAAAGAGATATGTGTGTACTAATTTATGTAAATAACGGAAAGATGTCTACAATAAGCTGCTGAGTGAAAATATCAACGATTAACATACACAAGATGAATAATTCTCTTAAAATTGAAATATGCCCAAAAGTCTGGAAGAACATTCTTGAAAGCATTAAAAGCATTTTTTTTTTTTTCTTTTTGGGTACCGGGGATCAAACTTGGGACCTTGTGCTTGCAAGGCAGGTGGTGGAATCACTGAGCTAAATCCCTGGCCCGAAAGCAGTTTTTCTTTGAAGGGTAAAACTGAAGAGCAAGCTGATTGTATGTATCCACAGTCTATCTATGTTGTTCTGTAGCATTCATTCTCTTACTTGGAAACCAACACAAATGTTTCCCTCTTGAAAAACCACCTCATACAGATCATTCCTTTAGCTTCTGAGGTTTTATCCCTACAGTGTACAATCAACCTGTCAAATAGCACGCAGTCCATTCAGGAACGCATTTTTTCCTTCTCAGATCTCCAAACATTGAAAACCAAGTGCTACTGATTCTTGATCATTGCTCCGTAATTTAGAAGACTCTGTATCAGAATCCAAAGGAAATAAACTGCTGTACTTTCTCAAAGGTGTGCCCGTTTATGCCCATACAATCCAGAGGTAATTTCATCACTGGACTGGAAGGAACTATTAAAATGTCTGGCATTCAGGAGAGGATTTCTCTACCTCTGAATACACCTCTGTATACTGATGGGATGGGGCTGAAGTCAATTAAGTGGTCAAAGAGCTGGAGAAGCTGCAACATTAGGGAGGCTTGGGCCAGGGATTTAGCTCAGTAGTTCCACCGCCTGCCTTGCCAGCACAAAGCCCCAAGTTTAAACGCTGTACAAAAAAAAAAAAAAAAAAAAATTAGGCAGAGTTGTTTGCTTTAGCAGCAAGAACAAGAGGGCCTCACTGCTTAAAGATGCTATTCAGGTATCACAAAAGAAACACCAAACACAAGCACAACTGCAAGGTCAAAATAACAAGGAAATTACAGATGACCAAGGGAGACACAAACTTTGACCCCAAACTGCTCAGAAATAACATTTCAAATGTGCAACAATGGCAAATATGTATTTTCTTGCTTCAGAAGTGGTTGAGGTTGAACTCTTGACAATTTCATGGCTAGAAGTTAACTCATTCAATAATAATAACAGTAATAATAATAAACATAGCTGAGTATGGTAGTGCATGCCTATAATCCCTGCTTCTCAGGAGACAACGGAGGCAGGAAAATCAAAAGTAGGAGGTCAGCCTGGGCCACTTAATGAGACTTTATCTCAAAATAAGTACATGCTCTTCTGGGTAATTGGTTTTTGCTTTTAGAATAGGTAAGATCAGTTTTTTTTTTAAATGCCAAAAATTGAAAATTTTAACGATTTTATCTCAGAAGGTATTAGGCAGAAACAAAATTCCAAAATGATTATCTAGCCCTACATTGGCTCACTGGGCTCATGGCTTTCATTCAAGCCAAGACTTGGGCTCCTTGATTTCACTCCATGAGAAATATCCACAAGATCCCTGCCAAGTCAATCCCCAGTAGCCGCCCCCCAAAAAAAGATCCCTGCCAAGTACCTGTGCATCTCTGACAATCATTAAAATTAAGTACAGGCCATTCAGAGTTGAAAAGTGTGGCAGCCGGCTGCTAAGCTCTCTCTCATGCCATTTGTCTGGGAGAGATCAGCTGCTGCACGGTGATAGAGGCCTCTTACCAACAGCCACATGAGCAAGTTGATTACCCAGTAAGTCAGGCTGTCAAGAGGTAGCAGCCCCGACTTGACTGCAACCTTATCAGGGGCCCTGAGCACAGACGACTCCCTCCCTCCACCTGTGCTCTGGCCCTATACAGGATGCACTGTGAAATCCACAGATGCCTACTTAGCTCAGCTCACCTAAGGTTGTCGGGACTGGACTGTTCAGGAAGGGAAGCTCAAGTTAATATTTTCAAGAGACTAAATGTTTTCAAAGTATATTTGCTGTAAGAACATGCTTTCAATTATTCATTTTTAACCCTAAAATGTACTGTACAAGAGCAACAAAACTATGGGTAATTTTTTAAATCCCTTCTAACATAACTGATAGATAATCTTTGTTAACTAGTATATTTATGGTCTCTACCATATTTTCTATGTGAACAAACTATTTCTTTCTTCAAAAGGCAATGACTTCTAAGTACTATCTACTTAATGCAAATCAGTATCTTTTTCTGCCAGGAAGATGGACCAGCACATCGTATCAGTCTCGTATGGATGCCTCAGGATGTGCCATCTCATAATTTTTTTTTCATCTCATAATGTATTGAACTTTCTTTAGGATATTCCAACTGTTTGTTCTCCAACAAAGCTGTAAGTAGCTGGCAAAGGTGAATCAGTACTCCAAAAACTTTTAACTCAAGAGTCCAACTTTCTCCCAGAAAGAACTGTCTACTAAAACCGGTGAAGAATGGCACCAGAGAGACTCATAAAATGCAGTGTGTACGTGTTAAAGGTCTGCAGCCATGAGGAACCAAAGCCCCTAAAAAGCTGCAGAGACCTCAGAGGGTGAGCTGTGAGCCTGGTAGGAGGAGGCCCCAGAGCTCTCAGGGGAGGACTCTACACTACTCACCTGTTCATAGGCTATCAAGGGCCTTGGGGGCTTCTCCTCCCGCCCTTCCATGCTCCCCTCCAGGCTTGGCAGGTGCTGACCTGCTGGGAGAAGAGACGCCCTAAGAACAGGATCTCAGCACTTTCTCTGCAGGTCCGCCCATCCCTGCACAACCTGTCCCCACCAGTCAGCCTCTGATCCCAGGATGCACACCCTTGGCAAGGGCGCTTCTAGAGGTTTCTGCCCAAATACCTATGCATGCACCAAGAGTCCCCTGGTCCTTCTCCCAGCCCAATCCTACTCCACTGGATCCTGGGATCCCCACAAACACCCAGCACGTGGAAGGCCACATGGTGTATACCCTTCTACCCTAACCTGCAACTCCAAACCTAAACCAGCAGCACAGCCCTGGCATGGATGGCCCAGAATCACACTCCCTGACCAACTGCATGAAGCTCGCCAGCACCACCCCCAGGAAGTGACTGAGCAATGAGAACTGACCCTACCCTTCCAGCAGCCCTGGGCAAGCGGCCTCTACTTCCTGCTCAGACATTCAAGCTGAGCTTAGAGCTCAGCTGCAGCCAGGCCCAGGTTCCTCCATCATCTTATCAAAATGTCATCGGCTGAGATTCTGACCCCAGCACCTTCCTGGGCCCTGAATGTACAGCTCGGACCTGATTCCTCCACCTCCCTCGGAGCAGCAGAGTCTGCACAGGACTGGGGACTGTGGCAGACACCAGCACAGGCCAGCCAAGAGCAGCCCCTCCTCGGCACAGAGTGTGCACCTCCATAGCTCAGCCGTTTTTGTACTAATTAGATGTCTTTGAGACTAAAGCAAATCTACTCCACCCCTTGCACCCCACCTCAGTCTTACCCATCGTCCTTCCCCTCCAGACTCTTACTCGGGCACTGCAGAGTGTGTTCCCACAGAAGCTGTGCCCTGCACCTGCACCCAACCCCATTCCCTTCCAGCTTCCACAGGTCCCAGCCAGAGCTGCACCTGACTCCTGTCCTAACACCTTCGTGGGCAGCTATGGCTCGGAAAGATCCTGTTTCTCCCCTAACCTGGGCACTTCCAGGCTGTGATCAGGGCTGCGCAGACACAAACACTCTAAAAAAATCCATCTCCAGCCTCCTCCTTCCCACCCAAACACCTATTCTTGCACAGGGGTCCCTGGAACAGCCTTGTCCCTCCGCAACCCAGAACCTACTGAAGCTCCCTCCACCCGCCCATGCATCCCCAGGCAGCACCAGGTCCCAGGACTGTGCAGACTCTACAGCTGAGGCAGCCCCATCCTCCTAAGACCAGAGCCTGCAGGTCCACACTGGGGCTTCCAGGCCTCCACTCGGCAGCCACCGCGCAGTGCCCCACCCCCTCCTTCCAAGGCACACCAGCCACGCACAGGGCAGGTTCACACCCAGAATCTGCATCCAAGGCCTGAGTGCTTCACCGGGGCATTTCAGCAGTCCCTGCTCTTGAGATGAGAATCTGCACACTGAACTCAGGCTGATGCTGCACCCATGGGAACTAGGCCCTTCCCCTTCCTCCTGCCCAACACGACAGCCTGGGTGTCACACAGAGTCGGGCCCTTTCATGTCCAAATCTGCAGCCCACACTCTGTCTCTCTACCAACCTGGGCATTCTCATGCCTGCACGCTGAGGAGCCTAAGCAAAGGTCCCAGAACGCCTACTCCTAATGATGCTATCATCCTGCTGTCTCCCCCACAGAGCTGTCAATCTGACCACAACTGCTCAAACTCGGTCCTTCCCAAGCTGATTCTTTGCCTCCAACGCAGCATCTCCACCAAACCTGAATGCCCGAGAATTCTGCCTTCTCCTACATGGACCCCAGCATTATAGTCATGTTCCTGACTCCTACTCAGAGCACGTGCAGGGAGCACTCTGTCTAGGACCTGGAACCCCGCTGTCTATTGGAGAACCCCACCAAGGGTTTGCTGAAGTAACACTGCCTCTCCTGGGGTAAGAACCGGCAGCTCCAACCTATTGTCTCCACAAACAGCGTCCTCAGGCCTGAGAGGAAAGCAATGTCTTCCAGAGTCCCTGAGGCACCTGCTCAGAATCTCACCTGGTGTTTCCAACCCAAATCCCTGCTTAAGAGAATAGTGAGAGTTGCACAGCGCCTCCTTCCAGGAACAGAAATCTGCAATTGTGCACTTCAAAAACCTGAGCACCCTCGAGCCCTCCACTACACAGATACAGCATTGGAGAAGGCGCTCCCCAGGTTCTCCCCCATATCCGTGTACCCGCCCTCTCTTCTAGCTACATGGGCATCCTCAAGCCCCAGAACAGTGAACCACTTGCCCAAGCATCCACGCATGCGCGCTAAGTACAGCAGCAATTGCCTCAGTATCTCCACCAGACTCCAGACGCAAGGCTGAACACGCCTATCTATAAGGCACCAGAACGTCCACCCACACAGTACTGCTTACAGGTGTCGGCCTACATGCCACGCATGCGCACACCGCACACCCAATGCAGCGCCCGCCCCCACCAACCTGGGCGTCCAAGCGCAGGCAGCGCAGGCCGGTCCTGTCGCTGCTTGGAGCCCGGCTCGGCTCTGCGGCAGAACGTACTCGGGTTAAGCAGGCCCCTGCCTCGGTTCTGCACCACGTCAGACTAGGGGTAAACTAGACTGGTCCTCTTCCCTACTCAGCATCCGCGAGATCGCTTGGGGCTAACTTCGAAAGGCTACGCTGCAGAACGGTTGCCAGCGTCCGCGCGCAGGACAATGGCTGCGCTTCTGGACGAACCCGGAAGGGCGTTGGGCTGAGCGAGCTGGAACTACAACTCCCAGAAGACTCAACGGCGCGTGCGGCTTTGGGGTGGGCATTGCTCTCCTTGGCAAAGAAGGCGCAGTAGTGTCGCACCACAAGGCTAAGCAGTGCCTCTCACTTGTGCGTATCTGGAGGCTTTTGCTGGACGCAGAGACCAGTCTTTCTCAGGGAAGCATGTGCAGAACGGGGAGGTGCTCGACATGCAAAAGGCTGGCCCGAGACCCGCTTACCACCGGCGAGTCGCCCTGAAAATGGAATCCGAGTGGAAACTACAGCTTCCCCTCCTGAGCTCCGTCTGTTTGCTGTCTTGGTAAACCTGTCACAGCTGAGGCGTTCCTACGGAGCTTTTCAAAAATCCGAAGTTTTTGTACTTGATAACAGGGGAATCCTTTTACTACCCAGGCGTGGTGGCACACCCCTGTAGTCCCAGCGCTCTGGGAGACTGAGGAAGGAAAGTCATACGTTCGAGTCCAGTCTGAGCAATGTAACAAAACCCTGCCTCAAAAAAATAAATAAATAAATAAAAAATAATAATAATTACATTAGAGAAAAGGCTGTAGAGGCTGGGGATTTGGCTCAGTGGTTCTGCCCCCAGCCTTGCAAGCTCAAGGACCGGAGTTCGATCCCCAGCACTGGGGTGAGGGGTGGGGGGAGGCTGAGAATTAACTCATTTTTGAAAATGAGTTTCTTTTCTGCCTGAAGGCCTTGAGGATTAGGTGGATTCTTGCCACAGGGCATTTGCACATATTTCTGCTATCTGACAGGTTCAACTTGGCTCAGTCTGGCCATTAGGGGAATGTCACCTTTCTCTTGCGCCATTGCCTGACCACCCCTGTAAACTTGCAAACAACCCTTCCTGTCCTCATAAGCTCTTTGCCTCCCTCCTCATCTTTATTTTTTAGCTCTAAGAAAAAAAAAAGGCCCTATGAATTTTTCACGATTTAACACACTATACATTTTAGGTATCTATATAAGAAAAATATTTGTATTAAACGTCTAAAGAAAAAAAAAGTAACAAAATTAAAAAGATATCCTGGCATGTAATAGGTCACAATAAACCCTTGTTGAATTAATAAAGGTTCCTGGCTCAAGGCTACACACTCTAACATCTAATCACCCTAGCACCTTTGTAATTGTGTTCACTTCCACCCCACCAGGAAGGAAGCTGAAAACTTCTGCTAGAGCTCTGCTATTTGAAAATGTAATTTTTTTATCTTTTTAAAAACACTTGTCAAAGCAGTCCTATAGTTTTCCTCACTTAAATTCTGATTTTCAACAACGAATTATTGCTGTTTGAAATGCACTCTCTACCCCCCAAATTTCTTGTCAAGAGCCATCCTATAAAATTGGTGGTGGGGGGCTTCCTAGTTAAAGTGTGGTCAAGGTTTATCTAATTCCTTGTGCCTGCTCTCACAGTTGAGGCCTGTGATGCTCTAGGGCAAGATTATGTCAGTTGAAGACATCTTGGTTCCTTGAGAACAAAGTAGTAATAAAAAAAGAAATCTTTTTTTTTTGGTATTGGGGATCGAACTCAGGACCTTGTGTTTGCAAGGCAGGCGGCGGAACCACTGAGCCAAATCCCCAGCCCCCAAAAGAAATCTTTTGTCTGGGAGAAAGGACAAATTCCTTATTAGCCTGCGCTCTCATCCCATCTACTGTTGTAAGAATGCTTTGCCATGTCACAATCCTCATCAACCTAAGACCCTCATCGACATAGGATGACCTCCGCCCTCCGTCACTCCGATACTCCCTCCCATCGTGGCTAGCTCGCAGTGTCTTCATGTTGCCCACTCTGGCACTGATCTCCCAGCCCCCCACCCGTGGACTTTGTCTGTCTTTCTTTATCCCTTGCCGCACGCCTCTCTAGACAGATCAGAGGACTGATTGGCTTCCACTCATTTCTAAGCAGTTGTTGTGGTTGATTTTGCGTATTTTTTTCTTTTAGTCTTCTGTGGTGGAACTATTTATTTTTACAGATGAAATAGAAATGCTGGGTGATGAGGACTTAGGGGAAGGAACCTGTGTGTTACGAATAAATTGCTCTTGTAACTGCCTTGGGCGTACCTGCTGGCATAGTGAACACCCAGCTTTGCAAGGCTAAATTAAAGTCTCGCTTTCAATGCTCTTCTGCCTGTGAGTCTACTCCTTGGGTCTGGGTAAGTGAACACATTTCTCATAAAGACTAGCCTGAACCACACAGTGTAACCCTGTCTCAAAAAACAAGGAAGAAGGGAAGGGAGGAGAGAGCAAAGGAAGAAGAAAGAGAAAAAAGAAAGAAATTGAGGTCCAGAGATGTTAAACAACTTACCCTAGCTGGTACTGTTAGGGCAGAGCTGGATTTGAACCAAGAAAAGCCTGACCCCTGAGTCCATACTTTTAACTTTTACATTATATTGCCCCTTGGTTGGAGAGCTGAGCTCATACAACGTTCTGTCTGAGAAGAGTGTTTTTACCCTCATTAATGTCTTTTTTTTTTTCTATAAAAGGAACACCAAGTTTGCAAACAAAATAGAAAAAAGGTTTCCATTTATTCATCATAGAAGAAAAGGGCCCTACGGATGCATTTGGCAAGCTAAATAAAAAACATAGTACGAAACTCTTGAAAATGGAAACTTTTGAAAATGTTGCCGACGGAGGTGTTAGAAAGATGTCAGATCTTACAGATTGATCTACAAGAACTACAAAAAGCACAAGATGCTTTCTTTGTTCATCTTCCTGTTCTGTCATTTTGCCTAATTTTTAGTTTAAGATACTCAAACAAGAAAGTGTTAGTGATGCTTCCTTGAAAACTGACTTTGTCTTTTGTTTGGCTTGTGTTTATCTTTTACAAGGTGAGTCTGCCTGCCCGAGTCCCGTCTCTGGCCCAGTCTGAATACTTCAGGGGCTTAGGACGGCTACCACTGAGGAACGGAAAGCCCCTGACCTCCGAGCTTTCCCGCCCAGCTGTTAGGGGACTGAATGAGACCCACATTTCACGCTGAGGTCAGCTGAGCCAGAGCTGGAGGAGAGCTCAGCATCCCCTGGAAAGCAAGCGGGGTACAAATCCCTGCGCTATACGTGCTGAAGACAAACACAAGAGTCCCCGCAGGAAAGGAGACGCGGTATCGCAACTCCACAGATAACAGCCCATTCTGGAAACCTCTTCTGGGCTTCCAGGATTTCGTGTGTTTGGTTTTTCTCCTGTCCTCTTCCGTCGCTCACTGTCTCCTTTCCTTGATCTCTGCTGTAAACATTAGAGAGACCCGGGACTCCGCCATCGGCCTCTGCTCCCCCTTGTCCTCATCCGCACTCCTTGGAGTTGCTGTAGCAGGCCCAGCTCGCCCAAACCCTGCACATTTCCAGGAAAGGCTGTGTGCTTGACTGACATTCCGCTGGCTTCTGAGAACTAAGCTCATACGACGTTCTGTCTGGGAAGTGTTTTCACCCTCACAAGGCCTTGAGCAACGCTCTGCAAGTTTGTCAAGATATCGGGATTTATGGGGACACCCGGCTCGTCACGGGAGCTCCAAGCCTTCAGACCCTGAGGCCACTCACACAGGCGGTGCATGCCAGTGAGACTGACCTCCCATAAAACCCCAGATACCGGGTTCAGGAGAGCAATCCTCACACACAGTGTCGTCACACGTCACTGGAGACGGGAGTCCCACGTGACCACTAAGCAGGAAGACTCGTGAGTTTGTGCAGATGCCCTGCCGAGCCCTGGCTAACTCAGACTCAGACTCTTCCTGGCCTCTGTGCTCATTCAGGAAGCAGCCATGGTGTCCTCGGCTGCTGGGGTCTCAATTCTTGTCCCACAACTTATAGTTCAGGGGCTGGCACTTTTGCCTTTTCCTATTGCTTTTAAACACATGAGAGTCTAACATTTAAAACTGGGCAGGACACGCCAGGGATTTAGCTCAGTGGTTCTGCCGCCTGCTTTGCAAGCACAAGGTCCCAAGTTCGATATCCCGTACCAAAAAAAAAAAAAAAAAAAAAAAAAAAAAAAAAAGATTTTGTAGGAGCCACAGTCCTGACCCTGACCAATACGCTGAAAATAGAATATCACACAGTCTACAAAGGCGAGAAGAAGTGACCATATTATAGTATGCGTCCAATAAATGCCACTGAATACGTGATATAGCATGGTTTCTCTAGAACTTCCAGAGAAAGGATCTCTGCTTCTGTTAGGCTTTGGAGCCGATTTGGCAGTAAGTTTCAACATCTGGATTTATGAGTGTCTGTGGAACAAAGAGAAAAATGTGAGCTCTACTGGCTGGGTGGACCCTCCTGGCCTAGCTGGCTGTAGTCTGTAGCTCAAGCTGCCCTCTGCTCCCCCATCCTGGGAACCTCCAAAGATCATCTTCCTTTTGCACTGCGCTTCAGTCATTCGGCACCTGCTGTTTGGAGATGATTGTAAGATGGCCCCATTGTCCCCACCTCCTGGTTGTTCCCCTATGGAATCCTCTCCCTTGTGGTCAGGACCTGTGACTTCCATCCAACCCACAGACTGTGTCAGAGGAGACAGAGGCCTATGACCGCACGGGCGCAGTTCTGTAACACAAGGTCATGGCTTCCATGTTGGATTTGAAGAAGCCAGACAGGGTGCTGTGAGCTGCCTATGGAGGGGGGGCCTGGGCAAAGGACAAGGACAGCCTCTCTCGGAGAGTAGGCGCTTGAGACCTTCACGACGGCCTGCAAGGAACCTAATGCTGCTTATAGCTACATGAGCTCAGAAGAACGAAAGAGGAAGGCATGGAATTTCACGGGACTCCAAAATAATGAAATGTTGTGAATGGGACTGAGTATAAAAGCATGGAGCATGAGAAAGAGCAAAGGTGAGTGAACGAAAAAGAATGAAATGCAAGACACAGAGCCGGGGATTTAGCTCGGTAGTTCCGCCGCCTGCCTCCCAAGTGCAAGGTCCCGACCGAGTTCAATCCTCCATAAAACATGGAAATAGAACAAAGTAGGCGAATCACAGAAGAATGGACGGAAAACACAATGGAAAGGAATGGAAAAGAGTGAAACAGAACCGAGTGGAAGAGGAAGGGGAGAGCGAAGGGAGAGAGGAATCAAAGGAAAAGAAAATGCAGGGAGAAACCACGCGGAGAGGGAGAAGTGGTGGATGGCGGCGGAAAGGAATGAAAGCCAGTTACACAGAGTGAACATAAACAGGGCGGCTGAAGAGAAAATAACGGCACGAGGGGAAACAGGAGGGGTGGAGTGGACGACTGCATAACTAGAAAGAATGTGAATACAATGTCATCCCAGGAATGAAAAATACAAATGAAATGAAGGGATAGGATGGAAGTTGAGTGCACCGGATTAACATAGAAGATAATGGAAAGCAGAAGAAATAAACAGAAGCTGAAAAACAGAAAAATGAAGAAACATGAGTATCAAAGACCCCCGAAGGTGTACACGCTTTCACACGACATCCACATCTCCGGAGAGCGGTTCATCGGTCTTTCCAGCCAGAAGGAATGGGAAGGAAGGAAATAAGAAAACAGCGAGGAGGGCTGCAGGGGGCTGGACCGGCGGAGTCGGATGCACGCAAGGAAACGGGGAAGAGTGGAGCAAACGGGAAGAGCCGGAAAGGGCCGGAATGGGACGCGATGCAGCATGGAGAGGCCGCGTGCAATGGAACACAACCACGAGCAAGCAAACAGTCGAGCAAAGTGAGAGCGAAAGACAGCAATGCAGGCGAGTCAAACGGGTAGAGAGGAAATCGGTGGGGTGAAAATAACTTCAGTGGAAACAGAACGGAGCAAAATGGAGTGCACCGGAGAGCAGTGGATGACATTAGCTGGAAAATGACAAGACAGACATGGATGCAATGGTACTGTGAACATTCTCCAGAGGAAATGCTCTCAACAGTCCATCCTACAGACCCTTCAGCACAGGGGGAAAATGCAACTGGGTGACATCTTCCCACTTGTCCAGAGACTCAGGCTGGCATAAAAGTACCTGGTAGTTTGACTCCCTGTTTCCTTCTGGTAGAGAGGGGCCCACTGGAAGCTCCGGAAGCCTGGGCCGTGGACTCCCGGGGCTGAGGGCAAAGCCTCCTGGGAGTGCTGGAGGCAGTCTGTTCTGCAAGCGAGCAGAGAAAGCAGGTGGGCCCACAGGCATAGCCCGCCCGGAAGATGCCACCTAACACCCAGAGAGGGGACAGGGTCCACCCAGGTTCTCACTAAGACAGGAAATGGAAGGAGGATTAAGACTCAGGTCTGCTGCTGGCTCAGAGTTCAACCTCTACTCTCGATCTTCCCCCGACCCCATGCCGGGCCAGCCCCACCGCGCTGGAACCCAGTTCCAAGTCCTGGAGGTGGAGGGGGCAAAATGAGAGCCAGAGTCCTGGAATCTGAGCCAGCTCCCTGTGACGCTATGGGCCACTTTCTCCCCACCCCTCGCCCTGGGATGCACAGTGAAGGTTCAGATAAGGCGGCCTCAGCCTGGTGAAACATGCGATCCTCAGGCACATTTTCCTCTGCAGCAGGGCCAACATACCACATAGCACTGCTCCGGGGGTGCCGACGGGAACGTCTGGGGAAATACGAAATAGTAAAGAGGCTGTGGGGCCTGGGATGGGGGCCACCCCCCAAAATTCTCAGAAACAGTCTGAGCCTCAAAGGTAGTTGCATCCCTCCTGATCCCCAGTGAGGCTGGAGGCTAAGCAAGGTCATGCATGTTAAAGTGCAAGCATCCCAGAGCCAGGCATGGTGGCACACGCCTGTAATCCCCACACTTGGGAGGCTGAGGCAGGAGGATCGCTGTCAGTTCGAGACCAGCCTGGGCTACATAGTGAGGTCCAGGTCAATCTCAACTACATAGTGAGACCCTGTCTCAAAAAAAAAAAAAAAAAAAAAGTGCAAGCATCCCAGGAGAAGAGACAGAAAGGAGGCTGGGAGTGGAGCTCACAGAGTGGACAGGAGCAATCAAATGGGCTCTGGGTCAGCAGCGGGCCTGGTCCTCACCCTCTCTCTGCTTCTGAGCCAGGGAGGGCCTGGAGGTCCTCAGAGAAGACGCCTCTGGGGCAGAGATGTAGCTCACTCACCTGATTGACTCTGCTGTGTCCCTGGAACTCAGTTTTTCTGAAATTCAGAGGCCTCGGATTGTCTAGAGAAAGCAAACCCCAGCCCAGAGCTGGAGTCAGGAAGAGACAGAGGAAGGGGCTGCTTCCCAGGGCCCTTATCCTCAGGACATAAGTAGCAGAAAACCTCCTTCCTCCCCGTCATATCTCTGGTGAGCTTAACCTCAGAATGTCTTGGAAATCAAGTTCTAGGTTACCTTAGGCTGTCTAGTGACCTGCGTGAGGAGAGAACCTAAATCCCAGCCCCAAACCTGCCCATAGGCCCTGTGTGGCCTTCCCAGGCCTAGTTCTCTATCCCCCCACCCCTGTCTCTTTCTCCCCCTCTGTGAGATGAAGCCGAACCAGCCCATCTCTAGAGGCCCTGTCACATCATGAGGCTCATCCTCTTGGAACGCTAGGGACAGAGAGGGCCGAGAGGCCTCCGTTTGCCTTTGGTCAGCCCCGCCCACCAGGCATCGTGCCGAGATGAATTATGGGAGTGGGTCTGGATTCAGTGGGGAGGGTGTGGCCCTGGACTTGCTCTGTCTACAGCAATCCAATAAGCAGGGTTTTCTGAGGCTGAGGAGAGTCTGCCACCATATTGTCCTTCTTTTCCCACAGCTGCTGGAACAGGTGGAACCCGTCAGAATTCTTGACGCCAGTCTCAACCGGATTCTTCATGGGGATACAGGGGTTCTGGGGCTCAGGGAGCCGCTGCAGGGCTCGCCCGAGATCAGACAGTCGTCTGGTGGCAGAGCTGGGAGGAGAGGCCCCGGGCTTCCACCCCAGCTCTTCCCCAGCGCCTATCGCTGCCCCAAATGTCCACCATGGGGTCACTCACCGGCACTGGGCTCTGTAGAGTTCTTCCTCCCGGAAGTAGGTTGTGAGGCCTTTGACCCGGGGTCATCTGCTAATATCCTTGAGAGCCTGAAATCCCAGAGCTTCCTTATCGTTTGCTGAATTATAAGTCATCAAGTGAATTACCAGTAAACACAGCTAGTTCTTGCCCATCTTCACAGGTTCTGTCCATGTCCCAGATGTTCTTAGACAATGACTCCCCTCCCCCTGAATTCCCCAGCGGCCGGGACACCAACTCTGCACTACGATCAACAACCCTCTTGCCAGGCGGCCCCTGCTGGCCACATCCCATCCCCTTCCCAGGAATTACCATCCAGCCTTTCTGCTGTAATAGCCCAGTCCTGCCACCAGAGCAATGACAATCAGGACTCCAGCGACGATGCCAGCAATGATTCCCCCAGACAGGGAGGACGACGGGGGACCTGGACAGAGGGAATCAAGGCCCAGGCCTGACACACTGACACACCCTCGTTCCTGCTGGCAGTCCCACCCCTAAGCGTGTGGCTTTTTTCTCCAGTACTGGGGATATAAGCTAGGGTCTTAGCATTGAGCTACATCCCCAGCAGCCCCCTTTTTAAATCTTGAGACTGGGTCTCATTAAACTGCCCAGGCTGGGCTTGAACTTGCAGTCTTCCTGCCTCAGCCTCCCAGAGAGCTGTGCCACCATGCCGCAGGTGTGGCTTTATCTCCACTGACATGTTATGAGTCTTGCTTTTCCCATTGCTGGGAAACAGCAGTTCACGAATCACACCATTTCTGGAGTCAGTTGGCCTGTGTTCAAATCTCAGCTGTGTGACCTTGGGCGCGCTATGTAACATCTGGGTTCAGTTGTCTTTGCTGTAAAAGAGGAATGAGACTTCCTACTTTAAAGGGCTGCTGGAAAGACTGAACATATGTGCATTCAGGTTTGATATAGGTCATGCTCAAAGTGATATATATCTGTACGTGTGGTGATATAACTCTCTCTATATGGCGTTTGCACCCATGGGAGGTGGCGATAAATACACTGGCTGGGACAGACGCTGCAGATTTGGATTTGGATGGTGGGTCGGGGCCTGCAGCTCCCCCATCCCATGATCCGAAGGAAAGGGCTTTGGCACCAGGGCCCTGGCTGCCGCTCAGACCCCCTCGCTCTCTGAAGCCGTGACCCCAGACAAGTGGATTCGTTCCTGCAGGAGCACACGGAGGCAAACCGTGGCCGAGCAGGCGAGGTGAAACTGAGATGAGATCACGCACGTCAAGCCCTGGCACGCAGGAGGCAGCACATGCATGGCAGCCGTTCTCACGGATGTTGGCCTGTGGGTTTTGATTTCCACTTCTGCCAGCCTTTCTCAAAGGGTGGATCAAGAGACTGTTAGGATCAAGAGGGCAGCCGCGAGGGTTGGGGTGTGAGGAAGGTCTGCTTTCGAGGGTCAGGAGGGGGCTTCCTGTGAGGCCCCTGGAGCTTCGACTTAGCCGCTGAGTTTCCATTTCTTAATGTCAAACAAACATAGACTGTACACTTCGGAGGGGCCTGAAGATGAAATGAGCTCAGACACAGAAGTACCAGCAAGGTACCTGGCCCATAGTAGGTGCTTCATTAAAGATGCTGGCTACCTCCACTTATATAAGGGTTAACCTTAGTTATAACCCCAGACAGTAGGCTGAGGCAGGAGGAGCACAAGTTCAAGGTCAGCCTGTGCAACTCAGACTTAGTGAGACCCTGTCTCAAATTTTATTTATTGATTGATTGATTTGGTACCGGGGATCAAACTCGGGACCTTGCACTTGCGAGGCAGCCAGTAGAACCATTGAGCTAAATCCCCGGCCCTGTCTCAAAACTTAGAAAGGGCTGGGGATATAGCTCAGTGGGAGAGCACTTACCTAGCAGGTGTGGGGCCCTGGGTTCCACCTCTATTTTTTAAAATGTGGTGATGGTGATGGGAGAAGCTCCTATCTGGCCATCCCGAAGCACCTTGAGCCCTCCGTACCTGATCTCTTTAAAACTCTACAACACTGATCACAACTGACTGGCAGCTGCCTCACTGAGTACCTATTTCACTCACCCAACCCTCATCCCAAGACCACAGCGCTGTTCTGAAGACTAAAAGAGGTGATTTGAAGCCAGGCATGGTGGCACACATCTGTAATCCCAGCACTTGGGAGGCTGAGACAGGAGGATCTCTGTGAGTTCAAGACCAGCCTGGGCTGCACAGTGAGACCCTGTCTCAAAAAACCAAAAAAAGCAAAAAAGAGGTGCTTTGAGAAGCTGCCTGAGGTCCTAAGCTCAGTGAGTGACCATAGCCGCTGCTATAAGGTCAGCAGTGGCAGGACCAGTGTCCCTAGGTCCCAGTCTCTTCCCTGGGACAGTGGAGATATCAGTGGGCTCACCTTGTGACTGGCTGACAGGCAGGAACTCAAAAGAAAAAAACCCACAAAGTGCTTGTTGGTTTCTACATGGGAGGCTTGGCTCAGACATATGGCATGGACTCAGTTAAGAATAATTTCAGTTGTTTAACAAACAGTGTGCTGGCAACAGCTCTGAGAACTTTATAAATGTTAATTAATCCTCAACATCCTTAGAAATAGACACAATTATTATTTTTGCTTCACAGAGGCCCAGAGAGGTTCAGTAACTTGTCTAAGGTCACACAGCTAAAAAGCACTGAAACCAGGGTGTGGATTGTGTGAAGAGCAATTCTATGCTGCTCTCTCGAGAGCTCAACACAGAAGTACAGGGAATCTTTGCAAGTTGCCTGTATTCGCTCAGGATATCTGTGACTTGTCCTTCTAAATAACTCTGAAAGGTACTCGCAAATCCCTATTTTTCTTCTTTTTCTTCTGGTACTGGGGATTGAACCTAGGGCATTTGCTCTGAGCTATATCCCTAACCCTTTTGTTTTTTAATTTTTGAGACAGGATCTCACCCAGCTGCCCATGATGGAGTAGAACTTGTGATCCTCCTGCCTCAGCCTCCCAGAGCGCTGGGATTTATATGTGTGCATCACCACACCTGGCTATAAACCTCACTTGCAGGAAAGAAAACAGGATCAGCACAGCCTGGAGTTTACCAAGGTGCACAGCAGGGAGGAGAGGCTGGAGGGCCTGGGCATTCATTCAGGGTAGGGACTGGTGGCTCTAGACTGGGAACCCCCGGTCCACGCATGGTCACACCCCGGCCCCTGGCACGGAGGCTGGGTGCTGGGCCAGCATCGGGAGGGTCACATGGGTCCCAGGCCAGCACACCCGCAGATTCACCCAGCACGCTCACCAGGACGGAGGCGGAGCGGGCCTGCCGGTCAGAGGGTTGAAGGCCGCGCAGTTGCAGGCGCCCCGGTGCGCCCAGGTCCCTGTGCGGAAGACCAGCTGTCCCACCCCCCACCCCCGCAGCTCCAGCCGTCCGGCACCCAGCCGGGACTTGGCCCAACACTGCAGGGTCTGGTTGGAGTCGAGCTTCACCCCCGTAGTTCTGAGCACCCCGACCCCGCAGCCCCTAATGAGTACTCAGTCCCGGCCCTCTGCTGGCAGAGCTGATGCCCCCGCCCCTGCTTCGGCAGTGCAGTTTGCTTGTTTGCTCCTCTGTTTATCCCTTCTCCATTGGAACGAGGGCAATTCCAGTCTGCAGCAGGAAGACAAGGGCTCTTCTACCGGATGCTGAAAGGAATCTCAGTAGGATAAAGAGAAAATGAGCCCTTTCCCTCCTGTGCTGCCCAACAAGCACACTGTGGTCCATGCTAAGGGACAAAAACCGTGTGCCAAAGTGGATTTTTGTGTGTGAGTGGGGAGGTTAAGACAGGGCTCACTGTGTAGTGCAGGCTGCCCTTGAACTCACTATGTAGCCCAGGCTGGTCTTGAACTCACAGCCATCCTCCTGCCTCAGCCTCCCCCAAGCGCTAGGATTACAGGTGTGGGCCATCACTCAGGCGCCACAGATAATTCTAACAAAGGAATCTTACACAGCACCAGGCTTCCAAAACTGTCACTGTGACGTGCACGTGGCTTCTGCCCGCTGATACTGTGGGCCCTCAATGGCATCAGCTCTGGTGAGTTTTTTTTTTGTAACTCTCTGCGCCTCCCCCACATACACGAAAGAAACAAAATGAAAGTGTAAATCAGTGGGAACTGCCCAAACATGGGCACACACGCAATGGGGAGAAGCCACGCGAGACTGCCGTGGGTGACAGCTGTGCCCGTATCGTGCCCTGGCGTGGGCACCTGGTCCTGAGAGCTTTGGGAACAGTCGGGCAAGGCCACTCGCAGAAGTCCGGAGAGGTGGGATGCAAGACTGAGGGGAGACTGCAGATGAACAGAGGGGAAATGGCCCGGGAGCTGCGGGAGAGAGGAGTGAGAAGATAGAAAGAAAGAGCTGAGGCGGATTCTGTGACCTTGACCGTGACCTTGACCGTGACCTTGTTAGCAGAGAAAGCGTCCAGTGAACGCTGGATCCCAGCTTCTAGAACACTGTGGGCACTCAGTCAAACTTGTCGATTTGGAAACTGGCCTTAGGCTGAGAATCCTTTAAAAACCATAATCCCCTGCTGCCTCGGTGGTGTGTGGTGGCGCCCACCTGGAATCCCAGCTAATCAGCAAGCTGAGGCAGGAGGATTATGTGTTTGAGACCAGCCTGGGCAACCTAGTGAAATCCCGTCTCAAAATCAAAAGGGCTATGGATGTAGCTCAGTGTTCCCTGCATTCACTCCTCGGTGCCATTAAAAACAAACAAACAAACAAACAAAAACAGTAGACTCCTCTTCACCTTGCCCTGAGTGGGAGGGTTCGTCTGACCCTAGGGGGTGAAGCAATGGGTCATTGGAATTTAAGGCGTGAAAACAAGGTGAGCAATCTTGAGCATCCTGGTGGGAAAAGTCCTGCTTCCTGGTGGGAGTCCCGCCCTGACCGTCACCTGCCCACACTTTCTGATTTCATGCGGGAGTAAGATCTGCCCGGACGCCCGCCCTCCGTCTTGTCTCAGGGCCACCGCATGCTCTGTTCCTCTGGCTGCGATGCTTCTACTCCTACTTCTTCTTTGGAGCCTCTGGCTGTGCCCCTTCCCACCTTTCCAGCCTGGGGCTTCCTCTGGACTCCCAAATCCTCCTTTCCCCCCGGCCGCAGTCTCCACACTGTGCCGTACTCGCCCGAGTAAGTCCAGGGGGGCCCCGGGCGCGGACACCGGGGCTCTGATTAGCAACTGCCTGGCATGTTGCTCAGCTCAAAATAGTTTTGGGTTAACTACTGAGGGAGGCAGGAAAGTGGGGAGAGCAACAGAGAAGGGCAAAGAGGGAAGATGCCTGGGCCTAACACATCCCGTGAGCCCCGCTACTTCACACAGGCAGAGGGGCCCGTTTCTCCCCCACCTCCTCCGGCTCAGCTCATGACTTCCACACGTTCCTCCTTGGCCTCCTGTTGAGCAGGAGCAAGTCCCACAGGCTGTATCTACCCTGAAATCCACCCCAGCCCTCCCGTGGGCTGCCCTGGCCAGTTCCCGGATGTGTGTGTACCGGGGGAACTGAGGCAGATCCTTTTCCGGGAGATGCGGAGGGCTTGTCGGGTGTCCTTAGCTACATGGCAGTCGGGGTGCTTTCTCCTGGCCTCTCCTCCCCGTCTGATGAAGTCCCAGCCTCCTGAGGCCGCTTCCAGGCTTCTCCTCCAGGCTGCCTCGCTCAGAATAAAATCCTGCCGTGGACGGCGCTGTGGATCCACCCCCGGGGCTGTGAGGCCCAGGACCCAGATGAACACAGCCCGGCCCTCACCTCTGCGCCTGTCCTTCCTCTCCTGTAGCCAGGCTGCTGAGGCCCTGTGAAGATCTGTCTCTGTCCTGTCCCTATTCCAGAACCTTCTGCAGCTCGAGCGCCCTCCTGGCCCGGAGGACCTGGGTGACCTGGCCCCCAGCCCTCCTCCCTGGCTCTCTCTCCTTCCTCTCTCCTGTACTTCAGCCTCGGGGGCCTCCTGAGGCTCCTCCGACACCAAGCACTGTCCCACTCCACGTGCTGCCGCCTCCCCCAGAGCAGGAGCTCTGTACCCCAGCCACCTTCATGCCTCGCTCCCTCACCTCTGTGTGTGAGTGTGAGTGTGAGTGTGAGTGAGTGTTGCTGGGGGTCAAAGCCATGGGCTTTCTGCCGCGGAGCTATGACCCCAGCCCTTTTTCATTCTAAGACAGGGATTCACTAAGATGCCCAGGCTGGGCTTGAGTTTGCAATCCTCCTGCCTCGGCCTCCCAGAAGTGCCCTCATCTCCTTCTGTGTGTGCACAAACATCACCTTCTTACGGCCAGGGATTTAGCACCTGCCTCGCAAGCACAAGGTCCTGAGCTCAATCCCCAGTACCAAAAACATCACCTCCTCAGGAAATCCCCGGCCCCTGGCTAAGGCGGCCACACCTCCCCCGTCGTGGTAGCCCCTGTGCCCTGCCCTGCCTCTCAGTCCTCCATAGCCTGAGACGGTCTTACCTCCTTAACCTGTCTCCCCACTGTTTACAGCCGGTCTGCTCCCCACCCCCAGGCAGGCACCAGGTGGTGCCCGCATTCACACCTGGCACGGGCCAAGCTCTCAGTCACAGTGGGATGACCGAGCAGAGGAGCCTGCAGAGAGATGGGAGAGGGAGGAGAAACAGCAGTGCCGGACGCGACAACTCACAGCTGGTGGTCAGCCCAAAGGGGTCGCTCAGTGCTTGTTGGTCCCGGGTCCAGATCTTACACTGGTAGGGGCCCGCGTCATCCTGCCGGAGACTATGGATGACCAGGGTCCTGTTGTCAGCTGACAGCACCAGCCGCTCACTTGGCAGCAGGGGCTGACCCTCCCGGAGCCAGAGGATGCCGATACCCTCGTAGGCGGTCTGGCAGGTCAGGGTCACGGAGCTGCTGTCCTCCACGAAATCCACGCCCTGGAACACCACGCGAGGCTTGGCCAGACTTCCCGGGGACGCTAGAGATAAAGGGCCAGGCTCAGGGACACCACCCAGCCTCCTGACCGAGCCCCATGGAGCTTTCCCAGGGCTGGATGTGTGTGTGCTCTGCCTAAGACTGTGTGGTGTGTGTGATACATGGATGTCTTTCGTGTAATGATGCTGTGGGTGCACTGTAGGTTTTATGTGTGTGTGGTGTGCGTATGTTTTGTGTATTTTATATCTGCTGTATGTGTTTTGAAAATGTGAGGTGTGTAGGTAGCATACATACTTGTGTGCACTTTGTGTGTGAATGTGTTACACATGTATGCATTCTCTGTACATGCGTGTGTGTTCCATGTCTGTGGTATTGGATACATAATACACATGCACTGTGTTGTCTTTTATGCCCTGTCTAGGACTGTACTGCATGTGACACCCATTTTGTGTGTATATTTTTGTCACTTGCATATCGTATGTACTGAGGTGTTGAATCTGTGTAATATGGTGTGTTTTTGTGTGTAGTTTCTTAAGTATCTATGATATCGATCGGTTGTGATGTTGGATAGATGTTAAATATCTGTGGTGTGTGTACGTGGTGTGTCTGTCATGAGCATGTATGTTTTGTTTGAGAGTGTTTCGTGTGTCTATGGTATGTTTTGTAGTGTCATGGATTTAAGATGTGTGTCTGTGTTCTGCGTGTGTGTCAGAAGTGTTGCATATGTGCTAGGAATATGTGGGTGCATTGGGTGTGTCTGTGAGTCTGACTGTACAGGATGTGTAGTGTTGTATGTCCTTGATGTGTTAGACACTTTGTGTTGAGTGTGTTGGGTTCACCGTGTGCACATCATGTGGATCTGTGTGGCATCGTGTTCTGAATGTACAAGTGTGCTGTGCAGGTGTGGTTATTACTCCTGTGTGTGCAGTGTGGGAGTGTTACGTTAGTGTTTAGAAGCACAGCCAGCTGGCCCCCTGGCTTCCAGAGAATCAGCTCACGGGCCCATGGAGAGCCAGTAGTCTTGCAGAGGATGTGCCAGGCCAGCGTCGGGTCCTTCCCCAAGGTCAGGGCCCGCTCAGCCACCAGCCAAACAGGAATCCCCGCTCCTCTGGGCCCTCCTCAAACTCTAGGCTGTTGGGGTACCTCAGTGGCTCCACAGTTTCAGCCCCCCTCGAGAATCTGATGACAATCACTGACTCTTTCTCTAGAACACAACACACTTTGTGTGCAACTTGGACGGCCCATCCAGGGATCCCAGATGTACAAAAGCACCAGATGCAGCTCCCGGTCCTTTTGAAGATGGAAGGCTCTGATTCTCGGGGCAACCAGGAGAGGAAACCGGAAGGCAGACTCACCGAGGACTAGGACTTTAAGAACGCCCAGGCGGAACTGGTTGGTGGCTCTGTTAGACACCAGGCACCTGTAGATGCCCTCATCTTTCCTGGACACTGCAGGGATGGTAAGTGTTCTCGTGGTAGGAGGCAGGATAGAGTCATTCGGGAGATACCAGGCATAGGTGGCGGCAGGTTGACTCTGTGTTTCCGCCCAGAAGTTCACGGTGGAGCCCTTCGTCACCTCCACTACCCCCCTGCTGAGGACGCCCGAGTCCACCTTGATCTCAACAGGGTCAGGACCATCTGGGAGGACAAGAATAATCATAGTAGTGACCATAGCATCAGCAACAGCTCTTTCATGAAGGATTTAGGGGGTCAGTAAACGCTATATTTCCCTCCTCCCCACTCAAGCTCTGGGCCAGTTGAAAAGGAGGCTAAATGTCAGCCCTGTGCCTGGGTGAAACACGATTGAAGACGCATCGAAAGTAATGCCGGCTCTTTGCTGACCCTACCCAGGCAGGAACGTGGATCAGAAACAGCTGAGGTTTGGGATCTCTGGTTTAGACCCATCAATTGGAGGTTTCTAATAGAATCTGATCCGAGGTGTCGAATGGTTATACGTTTGGGTTTTGAAGGCAGACGGGTCTGGGTTTAGGGGGGATTCACAGTGTGAGGCTGAACAAGGAGCCGGGAAAGGGGGTGGGGAGAATGGAGGGAGACTCACAGTTCACCTGCAGGAAGGTGATGTCACTGCTCTGGACCTCAACAGCGCCCCAGACTTCACATTGGTAAGTCCCCGCATCCTCCCGCTGGACAGTGAGGATGGTGAACCTCCTGCCATCTGCAGACAGCTGCATGCGCTCATTTAACACGAGGGGGACGTTGTTGGAGACCCAGTGGATGGAGACATCGACGTCCACAGTGTAACAGTGGAAGGTCACCATTTCCCCGTGCTCTATGACCATGCCCTGGCTGGTCGAAATGGTGGGCTTGTCCAGCGGTTCTGCAAGGGAGGGAAACAGAGGCAGGGACGTGGATGGAAGACGAACAGGACATAGTGACAGAGGGATCCAGAGAGACAGAAAGAGACTGGCGTGGCCAGAAGACATTCTGGAGCTGGAGTGCCTGGGCTCGAAGACTGGACCTACTGCTAGTTCCGAGTGATCTTATCTAACTTTACTTCCCTTCTGCAAGCCCCCTGTGTGAGTAAAGTAGAGGGCCTGAGCCACGAGAAGGGGTCAGTCACCTTCATACCAGGGGTCATATCGCCTTCAAAGAGGACTAAGCTCACAACAAAGATGCCAGCAAAAGTGCCCTCTCCCTGCCACAACTACAGTCCTGCCCTTTGCTCCTGTCCCCAATACAACCAATTGGACCAATCACTGCCACACCTCAGCGGGGCCAATCAGAATCATCCTCATCCTCCTGGGACTTGGGGTGGGGAACCCCAAGACAGATCTCTGGGAAGGCAGAAATCGGAGTAACAGCCTTGTCTTCTGTGCCCACGCTCTGAATCTTCCACAAGTCTGGAGTCCCCAGGGCGGGGGTGGGGGTCTCAAACGTAGATGAATATCCTTCTCACTTTGGGTGTTAGGTAGGCTGGCTTGGAGGGCAAGCTGAGCTGCGGCTGGAAGATCCCATAAGGTCCACAGTGAGGCTGGAAGGGGAGAAAAGCAGTCGGTGTTCAGGGAGGGGCAGGTGAATCAGGGCCAGTTACGGCGGTCAGTTACGGTTTTCAGAAGCGGAGAGGAGTCTGTGGTTACTGACATGGCATATTCCGTCTTAGAGACTTATCCTGTCCACTGCTTACTGGCTAAGTGACCTTGGATGTGTCTTTTCTCCCTGAGTCTCAATTTCCTCCTCTGTAAAATGAACCTAAGATCACCTGCATCCTAGGGTTGCTGGGTTGGTAATTAATACTGGTAAGCTTCACCTGAGCTGTCGTCGCTGTGTGACCGCTCACCATTTTTATTCTCCTGGAGACCCGTGGCAGCCTCCCCATTCCACATCAAAGGACACAGGTGCTCAGAGGCCAAGACCACAGAGTAAATGGCGGGAGCTGCATTTGAACCTGGCCTCCCGGGCCTCAAAGATGGTATAATTCTAGGGATGGGCATGGAGCCAAACTTGATCGATGGGAACTCCCAGTGGGAGCAGTTAGCGTCCTGCGATTCCCCAGATTTACTCTCGGGATATTTGCCATGCGTGGGATGGGAGGGAAAGCGGAATCAGGTCACAGTGGTTCCTAGCTTCCCGTGCGGTCAATTCTGCAACACAGCCACGGAGGCTGGACTTGGGCAGGTGGGACCCAACCCCGGCAGCCATGCTTATGTGCAGCTGAGCCGGTTACCTCTTATCTCTCTGTAACCCAATCCAGAGAAGCCACCACACTCCTCCCCAGCCCTCAGAGGCTCCATTTTGGGCCAAGCACTGTCCAACTTCCTGCCAGTCAGTGGTGTAGGACAGCAGCTCCCCGGAGTCTGGGAGGAAACATGGACCCCGATTTTTATGGCCCCAATGTCATGGGCGAGAGCTTTCTCTCTGAGCCTCCGCGTCTCCATCCGCACATGGGAAGAGCAGGAGAGCTTAGCTCGTTGGCTCGTCCTAAGGCAGCAAACGTGACACATCAGATGTGATGTGCTCAACACGGCTCCTGGTCAGGGTCCGGTCACTGTTGTGAGTGTGGTGGTGGCCGCAATGGTGGCATCTGTATTTCTCCGTCTCCAGGGTCATCGGAGTCCAGGGCCACTTCTAAGCTTGGAGCAACAGTCTAGATTTGACCCCTAGCTTTGTCACCTATTCAGGCAAATGACACTCTCTGAATCTGTTTCCCCATTTGTAGACTGAGAGTAAAAATAGTTCCAGCCTCAAATAAGTGTTGTAAGGAAAAATGGAATAATGTGAGAGACGGCATCCTTCGCAGGGCAGGACTCCTCATGAGAAAGACAGAGAAGCCTCCTCCTCCAGGCCCCTGCCTGGCCCCTTCTGTCCTGTTTCCTTCTCCTGGGCCCTGACTTCTGTCCCCTGGGCAGAGGCCAAGCTTGCAGACACAGCTGATAACCCTCGTCCTTCAGGAGGACCTTGGAGTCTGTGTCGTTTTCCCGTCAATGAGGAAGCTCTGACCCAGAGAGGGAGCTGCTGTCAGGATCACACGGCAGTGGTGAGGCTGGGCTGAGGCCTCAGTTCTGCCCGTGACCGAGGGCCAACTCAGTTCTTCTCCTCCAAAGCACCTTTCTTATCAAAATTTCTCCCCTTTGCCTCAGATGTTCTTTAGATGCGAATTTCCTCTCCGCCCCACCCTAATGGGTGGACTGCTCAGGGTCAGCACATCCTCCCTCTGCCTGCCTCACTCCTGCCCATCCACCTGTCTGCTGTGCGCCGGCTCCTTCTCCACCTCTCTCTCTCCTCTCTCCCTCTTACGCTATTTCTCTCAGTGACTTGGTGCTGTCTTCACGCTGTCTCTGTGTGTTCTCCCTCCCTCTCTGATACCCCACCCTGCTTTGCCCTCTGGCGCAGTCTCCAGTATTACTTTCAGTCCTTTTCTCCATCTCTCTTTGTATCTCTGTCTCTGTCTCCTGTTTGTATCTCTTTTGCATCTGTCTTTACTTCTGTCTATGTCTCTATTCCTCCTGCCTCTCTGTAAACACACACACACACACACACACCCCACTGACAAGTGGACACACACACACACACCCCACTGACAAGTGGACACACAC